ATTATTGTTAGGCATGTGCAGCATGTTTAGTACCTCCTGATGTCAAAGCCTGGTGAATGAAGTCAGCTGAAGGGTAAAAGAAAGGTGAAAGGTCAAAAGTTGGAAGGTCATTGGCTGGGACTCCATAGTATTTTACTGTAGTTCCATAGAAATCATCACTTCCTCTACAGCAGAGTTTGCCATGTGAGGCGTTCAGGACGTGAGTGATGCCCAACTGCCAGAGTCCAAACCTGTCATGAGACATAAACCTGACACAAACACAAAGTTTCGTACTTATATTAGGTATAATGTATAAAGTAATGTGTCTCAAAGGATTTGTTTTAGTGCAGTGTGTGTGGTCGTGTGTGTCCTCACATGTCTCCCAGATGCAGATTGGGCCACACCTCGTCTACATGTCGACAGGAACGAGGAGCTGAGTATAAAACCTCCTCTAGTTCCAGGAGAGAAAGGAGCTTTTCTGAATCCTTCTGCTGTGAACCTCCTGTCCCAGATGAGCAATTTGTCTCCTCCTCCTCCTTTGACTCCTGAGTATAACCCATCATTAAGACAGCACCTGCTGTGCTCACCCTATCAGTCATTTTTTAAATTCTTAAGGCAGTAAACCGTGAGTGTGTGATTAAGAAAATAAAAGGACACTGCTGTCCGTCGCCTCTGCCTCGATTTTGTTTTCTCATCTCTTGACAGTCACTAACAGGTGCTGCGATTGTACGATACAAATATAGCCTCTGGCACAGGTGCAGGGCAAAATGAACTTAAGTGAAATATATGAATTGGCTCTTAAAATTCTCAGGATCAGGATTTACATGCTGCAATGAGCTTTAAATGTTTCAAAAATATCAAAAAGGCTAAAGAAAAGGGAATTCAAAAATAAACAAAAATGAATATGTCAAGGTTGGCCCAAATGTGCCCAAAGGTAAACCAAAAATACAAAAGGGGAAAATAAGGAAAAAGTTTTAAAATATAATCTTAATTAATATATAGATAATTTAGCTACCAAAATAGCTTTGACAAAAACTACTGCAACAAGCCAAAATATACAGTTAAAACCAATAATTGCTCAAGCTTGATAAGAGATTAGTGTAAATAATAATAAAAAACAGTGAGTTTATTACGTGTCCAGCAGAGGTCAGTGTGTTCAGTGAGGCCTCTCATTGTGAGTCCTGCCCCTCTTCTTTCTCTACTTTTGTTGGCGGAGTTTCTTCCTGTTTGCCGTTGCCTGGTAGTCAGAAGCATGTTGTCAGACGAAAACTACTCTTGCGAGTTGAGTCACAATAGTCTACGTGTCTACGCTCCCTGACACCACATTCGCTCTACATGGATTTGGTAAGAGAGGAAACACTTTTCATCGTATTTTTTCCTGAAATTGTGTCTCTTTTCAACACTTTGTTTGGTAAACAGTAACGGTTAAGAACTGGTTATTTTAGAGACAGCTCCTGTTGAAATGTAACAGTGAGGTGTTACAATGTGTCTCTGTGGTGGACACACTGTGAAACCATTGTCGTCTGTCTCTATTTGACACATATACAAATACACAGTGGCGCTTTCTCTCTCTCACACACACGCACACACACACACACACACTTGTGTGTCTCAGCTCCCAGTACGACGACTCTAAAATCTACAAACTAGTCTGAAAATCACTTTTCTGTCTGGGGAAACAGATTGAGGTGAGTGTTTTCTGTCGTGCAGACCTGTAAATAACCGATTCAGATCCATCTTAGTTCATGAGCTTGTTTGGGCCTGTGTGAACCCCTCAGTGGGAAACACATCTGCTGTGTTGACGGTAAAGTCCAGGTCATTATCTCACCAGAACACAATAAATACACAAGAGCAGAAGATACAACTACTTTACTACAACTCGATAGACATGATTAGATATGAAGCAATACATTATGGGAGAGATTTTTTGACCAAATATCAGGTGTTTTTATGTTCTGTAACCTACAGTACTACTGTAGAAAACTACTAGACTACTATACAGTGCTACAATATTATTGTGGCATCATTCATATACCCATACGATTAGTATGACACTATTTTAATGTACACTATGCTTAGTAATACTATACCTAACTATACAGTACTATACTATACTACACTAAAAACACAAAACAATTATATATCATCATACCATAGCCAACTTAAATCTACTACACTATACTATGTTGTACTGTATCTAGTGATGATTCATGTATTACAGAAAACGGGAAACTGTGAGTCTGAATAGAATTTCTGCTAACCATGTGGGATGACACACTGGCATTGAGCATTAAACTGCAGTGAAGTCACTTGTCCGTTGAACCTGAACAACCTTTGGATCCACGGGGGGAGGGGGGGACGTTATCAGAAGGTTGAGGGGTTAAAATGATAAAAACAGAGAACAAATAATAATAATAATAAGAGGGTTGATACAGCAGTGTGAGAGGTTAGTGGAGATTATGATGAGGATGAGAATAATAATAATAATTATTATTGTTGTGGTAGATGTGAGTTATTAGTGGCCTTCACTCAGTGCTGGTCATATAAAAGGAGAAATACCCAGACAGCAGATTACAGCAGATTAGTGGTAATAATATCATGTAATTAGGTTATGTTCATTATTTCCTATTTCAGTTTCCCTTCATATGACCGATGACCTTTGAACCCTGTGTTGGTGATGACTTGATCACACCAGTGTTTTTGTTTGTGATCAGAACCATGCAAATGTATGCAAAGACGGTAGATTACAGTTGATTTACATTCAAAACAAACAGACTAATGTAATCCTAACAAATGTCATTTTATCATCAACTTGTTGTTGTGTAAATTTGAATGTAAGGAGTAGAATTTATACAAGCTGAAGACTTGGGCAGGAAATTCACTTGAAAGTGACCGGGTGGGCGGTGGTAGTCGCAGGAAGGGGGGGTTGATTCTGTGAAGTTTATTATTGGTGTAAACATGTATTGTAAAACAAAATTTTATCAGATGTTGTTTCTTGTTTGACTTTTTTTTTTTTAGCAAAAGTTCAGTTTTATTTTAGCCTGCTGGCTAATGCTCACATCGTGTTCATTTTTCTTTTTTTGTTATATTTGTAGTCATTTTCACTACTCTAACATAAAGCATATCTGTGAACTTAATCCCAGTAAGTACAGAATTTTTGAATTTTAATGTTAGCTATCACTTGTGTGAGTCATTAACCTATACTTGACATTTTTTTGGTATGTTAACAGTGTAGGCAGGAAAAAACGAATACTCACCAATTTCTGACCCTGCAGTATGACCAAAAATATTCATGTGTCAGGCAGTATTGGAGTCACATGCTGTGGCATGTAATCTGCAGTTCAACAGGATATTGCATTAGTCTGTGTTGTTTTCGTAATATTGGACATCCTAACTTTAACATGCAATTCAGGTTATTTTCCTTCTCTTAAGGCCCATCATACCATAACACTGCCTGTGTCTGTATCTGCAGAGAGATGGCGCCGTCTGAAAACTGTGTGAGTGGCTGGAGCTGTAAGCAGGTGGCCCATTGGTTGCAAGAAGAAGGATTTGGAGAGTACGTGGAGTTGTTGTGTACCCAGCACCGTCTGGATGGTCCCAGTCTCCTGGCCTTGACCGAGGCTGACCTGCGGGGGTCACCTCTGGGATTGACCGTGCTGGGAGACATCAAGAGACTGACCTTAGCCCTTCGACGGCTTCAGAGACAAAACCAGAGCCAAGTGGAGGAGCTGGGTCTCCAGCTGTCAAACGGCCACCACACTGGACCATCCGTGGGCGACGCAGGAGTGGAGTGGAGCTGTGACGAAGGGGACGGGAGGTGTAATGACAGCGATCACTTATGTAATGGCACAGAGCTGAGACTCAGGAAAGGAGATAGGTCTGGTTCAGGAGTTACATTGCGTCACACTCACTCCAGCTGGAGGTGTCGGCAGCACCTGGCTGGTCGACTGGACCCCGAGGTGTGGAAGACAATCATCAGCGCTGTATATGTGTTTCTGGTGTTTGGCTTCACTTCTTTCGTCATGGTTGTTGTACATGAGCGTGTACCAGACATGAGGACGTACCCACCACTGCCAGATATATTTCTGGACAGGTAAAACTACTACATTCATCTTTTTATGGAAATGTCCAAAATCTGGCTCCCAGGTCAGTTTTGGCACTTGTGCTTGTAATAAAAGTCTGGCTCCCAGGCCAGTTTTGGCACTTGTGCTTGTAATAAAGGTTTTCCTAAATAAAAGCTATATTAGCAAATATTTAGTTGCAGTGCAGTGTTTGGACGGGTCCAAACCGGTACATTTGTCTTCTAGCAAACTGCTGTCACCTTTGACCTCTTACTAATGATTTTTGTATTTTTTGACAGTGTTCCCAGAATCCCCTGGGCTTTTGCGATGGCTGAAGCTTGTGGCCTCATTCTGTGTTACATGTTTCTGTTGGTCCTACTTCTTCACAAACACAGGTATATGATACGCTCCGTCAACATTTTACTCAAAGGCAGCTTCAGAATTATGCACACTTGATCACAGTAAGGCTTAACAACATGAAGAACATTTACATTGCATTTGGTAGACAGATGATGAGATGCAGATTTGATTAGAGGATTTTTAATTGACTGCTACAGTTGAGCTTTGGTTCATTATCATGTAGTAATTACTTGATTAAAAGCTGTAACATTTCCCATGATGCCACTGTAATCTACTGTGCACACTTTATGCATACTATTTTAATGCTCTATTTATAATATACACAGGACTAAAAGTTGTCAAGAATTTAGCTTTGAAAATACACTACTTGCACAACAGTTAAAACTACAGCTCCATGGAAAAGCCATTGTCCTGCAAAACCATTAAAATAAGTAAGAACAAATTAAAACACCATTTTATCCTTTTCCCTGTAGGTCCATTCTTTTAAGGAGGTTGTGTTCTTTAATGGGAACTGTGTTTTTACTGCGCTGCTGCACCATGTTTGTCACCTCCCTCTCTGTTCCAGGGCAGCATCTCAAATGTGCCAGTAAGGTGAGAAACATTTGTTTTGGATATGTTCAGATTTGCTTATTTTCGCTTTGCTTATAACGGGAAGCTTGTGTTCCCACAGACATTTGATGACACCTGGGGAAAGATTTACAGGGCGTTAACAATCTGGAGTGGATTTGGAATGACTCTGGCAGGTGTCCAAACGTGTGGAGACTACATGTTCAGTGGACACACGGTCGTCATCACATTGCTCAACTTTTTTGTGACTGAATGTGAGTCCTAGAGTTCTTTTTTTTTTTTTTTTGACAAACCTTAACTAAAAACTATTGTTTCACATAAAATTAATCCTGTGATTTGGTCCAAATTTTCCACACAAACAGGTAATTTTAAAATAATTCAGTATCTACTAAATAATAGTAATGTGTATTCTAAATATTATAACGTCAGCCAGGCTTGAGGATACAGAAGAGAAAGAGGGAGGAATAATTGGTAGAAAAGGAGGGAGTTGTGAATCATGAGAAGATTTCAGAGGATTGTCCTCTAGCAAAACAGACAGTTTTTTTTTATTTTATTTAAATGTGTTTCCTCCAGGCTCTACACACACAGGACAGGTTAGAGTCAAACAATACTACGCCTCACTAATTAATAAAGTTCAAGGTGTTCTTTTGCAAATCTAGGTTTTGCTATAATTACTTCTCATCAAAGCCAGGCTAAATAAACAGCTGATGTAATTCCAGACACTCCTCGGACCTGGAACCTGATTCACACCATCAGCTGGGTCTTAAACCTGTTTGGTATTTTCTTCATCCTGGCCGCTCATGAGCACTACTCCATTGATGTCTTCATCGCCTTCTACATCACCACCCGCCTCTTCCTCTACTACCACACTTTAGCCAACACACGTGCCTTCCAGCACAGTCGCAGGGCACGCATTTGGTTCCCGATGTTCTCCTTCTTTGAGTGCAATGTGAATGGACCTGTACCCAACCAATATCACTGGCCCTTTAGCAAACCTGCCTTCATGAAGACTCTGATTGGATAAGGTGTGCTTTCATTCCAAACCAGCAGCTGCAAAGCTTCTCCAGACAATAAGGTGAAGCTTATACCATAGATTTTTTATTTAATTTGTATAAATCATTGGTGTCTTTTAAGTAATCTAATGTTTAGAGGAATAGATTTTCATTTTGTGTTCTTTTTCTGAATGAGATGTACATATCTGATATCTGTCCGGCCAATTTAGCTGGACAGAAACAATTCTTACAAATAGCACTTTTAAAACTAAACTGTGGATGCATTAGTGCATGTCAATACAAGGAGTCACTAGTTATTGCACCAACCCCCTACGTCCCACCGTTCTTTTAAAAGTGAATGCATGTTGGTGTTTTTATTCGCATTGCTAGGCTAACCTAACTAGCTGCACATTATATGCCACACATTGAAACTAATCTTCTTTTATTTTATAGTCATATTTAAATTGCAAACACTGCCAATGTATAAAATGGTTCCTTAAGACTGAACCATTAAGTTTTTCATGTATTATTTCTAAAATGTTTACAGTTCACTGACGGTGTTCATTGTTATTGTGATGCAGAATTTACAAGGCGACATACAGCTACAACATACAGCTTTTAACAGTTCTCTGGGTGTTGGATTTAACATGTTTTGTTGCAAAAAAAAATTACTTAGGGATTTGGATGGATGTGTGCCTGAGACTTGTTTATTTTTTCATATTATTAGATTAAATAACTCTATTTAAAAGCTATTTGAAAGATTAAAAAAAATCCACAGAAGCCTTTTACGTTATACGTAATAAAACTTTATATAGAGTTACACCCTATATATATGTATATACTATATATATATATGTATATATATATATCAATGTACTATATAATACGTATAATAAGTATAATAAATTAGTAGCTAGGAGAATTGAATGTGCATTATGGGACCTGTAGCTTGTGATAAATGTATATAATAGTACACTTGATTGGAGTTGGAATGAGGGAAATTATTATTGTTAATAACTGGCCATGCATATGTCATACACAAACTAAATTTGACCACTGCATTTAACCCATCCAGTAAACATGAGACATACACCATAGACGTAACTATACCAGGATGTTCTGGTTGACCACATAAATGTGTTTTCTAGTATCGGTTTGTCACCACTCAACATTGACAAAATTAATGTTGATCCATAATTTTGTAAGTGAGTTTTATTTATTTTGCATTGTATTTTTTGAAAGTCCTAACTTGATAACACACCAACTGTTTTGTTAATTGTTCTTCACCATGATCTAGCCACTACATACAGGTCAATGATCTACACACACACACACACACACACACACACCTATGTATGCAGAGTGGACAGTATTCTTTCATCACTCGTCTTGTGTCAGTTGTTTAAAACAACTCCTGACGAAGTCCCGAGGAAAACAAATATGTTTAAGCATTGCAAGGTGAAACTGAACTTGCAAAACAAAGTTGACTTTGGCACCTCTGGCAAAAAGGTGTGTTTTCACAGGATGTGCAACAGGAACACATCCCGTTTAGTTTTGTTCTCTGAAAATCAAAAAAGTCACAGAATCATAACTTCCACTGAGCCCAATTTACACTTAAACTAAATTTAAATATCGAAACATCTGCACTACCATACTGTAGATGACGTGAAAAAAGCCACGGGTACAGAATGTACTTTGTTCAATCTCAATCTTCCGATGGTTAAAAATGTGTTTAAAATCTAATAATATTGTTTACAATCTAATTGATGATCCAAAAAACGTTTCTCAGTAATTGTTTAATTTTTTCTTATTATGGCAAGTGCTTTATTTTGCTCAACAATAAATGTTTACAGATAACTCTGACTGTTTCTTTAATTATTTATTAATCAGTGCATTTACCAGTGCATTCATTTTATGGACCAGGGCGGTGTAAAAACAAAACCTAAATGTGCTATAATTTCAAAAAATAACAAATGAAGTTTAAGGCCACATGGTCCTCACTCCCCCAAACTGTTTTCTGCCAGTCACATGTAGAATCTGTTGTTTTTTCTGCTAAGCCTTGTTTGTCATAGATAAGTTTAAAAAAACTTGAGAACCTTGTGTTATGATGTAGATGTTTTCATTAACTGGGCTGTGCCTCTAATATGGCTGAGGAAAAACTTCAACAGCACACCTGCTGGTCATCCCTGAAAACAAATACCGGAGTCACATCACCAGTTTTTTCAAAGGACCTGAAATGGTTTTCCTCTTTATAAAAAGCCCCTGTCACAGAGATGACAAGCATATGAGCTTCATCGTCCACTGATTCATCACACACTCGAGGATGGTGCGTATTCACACAAGATGCCTGGAATTGTATGATATCATTATCATATTCATGGAAGATCTCAGAGAGATGACAGATGCTTTTTAGAATTACAACTGCAAGTACCATCCGATGACAACCTTAGATATTATGGTTGATTTTGAAGATATGAAATACGAAACAGCTTTCAAAAATACTATCTGCAGACTTCATCGCTAGAGAATCTGTGTTCTGATGTGACTGACAGTTGATGTGTTTTTCAGTCCAGTGCCTACAGCAGACATTTTCAGAGATTTTTATCTTCTTTCTTGAGATTGCTTTCAATGCGTATCTAGTTTATCTCTGGTGGATTCTTGTTTGGGGTGCTTTTTCTACATATTACAGTCCTGCCTCAGATTTGAATCACAATATGAAACCAAAGGCTCAAGGACTGAGTTCTTTTCAAATGTTAATTTTGTTTTGAGCAAAGAAAAAAACATGGGAAATCAAAACCTGGAGCAAAGCTTTAATAATGGTTTCTATTGGAGTTTATTTGGGTTAATTGAAAATCACATCAAAAGAATCAATCGACCAGGAAATAAAATTGTTGTTGATGCCAGAGACACCTATTCAGAACATAACATTTGTCTAGAACTTTCTGACTAACCTTGTTTGACTGTCTTCTTCATTTGATGTATTGACTCTTCCAGGCCACCCTTCATTTGCTGGTATGTCTCCTAGGATGTTTGTGCTCTGTCAATCAGAGTGTGTTTTTAAAGAACTGAAGAAGCAGGATGAGAACGCAGCTGCCGAAGGTGACGTGGCCTGATTTTTTTCTTTTTTTTATCAACATAAAAACTTTAAATCAGCCACAGTCAGTCAAGTACAATTATCTAGATGTTTACTTGACACCTGTCACCTCTCTTCAAAGACATCAACTGTACAATTGTGCACAGCAGTAACTTTATCAGAGTGTGATCAGCAGCAGCTCCGCTCAGCTGTGGTTTTATCTTCCTCATGTGCTGGCTGTGTGGATGACAAGGGGAAACGCCACCGCTTCGATGAATTTTAAGCGGACGACTGCGTGGAGTGTGTGTGCGACACGCACGGCATGACCTGCTGTGACCTGTAAGACTTATTCATTTTTAATGGTGAATATTTTTGAACAGATCTGTATTCTTCAGGTTTAAGGACCTACTGACATACATCCTCGCCTCTCCTGCATTTTTGTTTTTGGTGAATAAGCCTGATACAACAGTACGTGTTGAGGAGGATATAGGAGAGTGAGATTACGTTTAAGTTTTTACTCACAGAAAAATAAATGAAACCAAGGACAGATTTTTTAGAAAAACATACCATATTTTCCACTATTCTCTAAAAGAAATTTGTACTTTTAATAATATTATTCTATTATCCTCCCATTGCCATTACGGTTGTGTCATTGGTGTTATGTCTACTTCCCTTTCTGTTTTCTTTTTAGGAGCTTCTCTGTGTTATTTCTTAATATCTTTTTAGATTTATTTTTTTTTACATTTTGTTTCTTTCTTGCCGTTATGTCCTTTTCACTTGTCTACCAATTTGATCCGCTGTATTGATATGTGCCCTCTTTGCCCTTTCATCCTTCTTCATTCTTTTCATATCTTTCTTATCCCTTTTCACATTTTCTGCAGTTGTCATTAATTTCCTAAATCAACTCACTGTCCTTATTTCTTTGTGTAAATGTAAAAACAAGATTGGCCCAAGTCCCTGCAGTAAAGGAGCAGATATGTTGTTAAGGTATTTGGTTAAAGGTCAATACTGGTACTTAAAGAAGGAACATGCTTGGACACTTTAACATGAGAACAAGCTGGTCTGATTTCCCTGGTTCTGTGTGCCACTCCATTTGCTCTTTGTCTCTTAGTAAAAATCTTGCTCCATGATGAAAAGCAAAATTAAACAGTCCTCTAAATAGCACATCACAATAGTGGGTAATTAGATGGAAGTGGAGTCTGGGAAATGGTCTACATGATCTTTTTCTTGTGTCTGAGCCATTAGCTGGCTAAGTGCCCTGTAACAGAAGTGTGAATGGTTATTGAATGGTGAAAATGGAGGAATAATGGCCATCATGACAAGCTGGTATTTCATAGTTATTTAACGAATGTAAACCCTGTAAAGCCTTCAGGCTTGTTTTTACTCTCAGGTGCTTGCATACTGAAATTTAACTTCAAATGTCAAGCACAAATCCTCTTATTACGTCGAATCCTCCTGGGAGTTCACCACTGAGCATGATTCGTTTATTTTTATCTTCTGTCTGGCGTCGAGTCTTTGACCTCCTCAACTTTTACTTCTGTAGCTTTATGTAATGAGCAGCCCTGTTATAAAATCTTTCAGTCGTAGCACTGCCAGGTCATTCTTCCAACAGTGCTGTTATGTTCACTGATTCTTTACTTTTAGGGCTTTAACGTTTTTTTCAAGGACATGTAAACAACAAGTTTGAAAACTAAACTGAAGTGCCTTACTCCGTTGTGAACAAACATTGTTTAAATACAGTTTCATCGTGTAAGGATGACTAAGTCTGAATTTTCTGCGTATGTTGAAACCATGTTGAAAATGTATTTTCTCCTGGGAAGAAAATGTGAGAGAGAAATCTGCACAGAGTGAGATAAACGTCAATGATGTCATTGTCAAACTTTACTCTTTGTTACAACAACCACAGCCTTGGACTTGGTAGAACTCTATTTGAAAGAAGTTGCTTTGAAAGAACAAGATTTGTGAAAAGTAACTTTTGCTTAATTATTAATAATTGTACAGTGTAGCAGGAGGGGATAAATGGCTGCATATTTAAGTGAAAGTCACTAGATGACAGCATTGCAGCTCATTAATCTCATTAATCACATACTCATACAGTGTTTTGTACAGAAAAATAAAAAAATATCACCTGGCCTATATCGATATCGGTTGATATCAGATTCGGAAATTAAATGTTTGGACAACATCGGCATATCGGATATTGGCAAAAAGTTAATATCGGACATCCTTACAAACTGATCATCTTCTTGTAAAGCAATAACACAAAACCTGTAACCCAGCAAACACATCCTGTTACCGTCCCTCTTTTCTATGTTGTCTATGTTGTATAAAAATACATGTTTTATAGATATTTCCCTCTAATTCAACATTAGACCCACGCACAGGGCCATTTCTACACACCCTGGGGGCCACAGGCCACATTGAAATGCTTTAGAAACCGCAATGGACCCTCCATTGCGGTTTCTAAAGCATTTCAATTCAATCATTTTGTCATTGTTATATGGACCAATGTCAGCCGTCTCTCAGCGCCTCTGCCATCTCAGTGCCATTGGCAATTTCCTGAGCCCTTTCCATGCTCCTGCCCACGTTGGTAATTTTCTTCTCCAATGAAACATCCCATCCTAATAAGAGTTAATGACGAAGGTACGTTTGAATCACAGTAGGAAAATCCCTCTGCATCTCCACTAACGACAAGACGTTAGTAAGTATTTCTCCTGATTTAGAATGAGCATGCAACATCTGTTTGTCTGTAAATAATTCCTTTGTATTGTTTTTTTGTTTTTTTGTTTTTTTTCAGAATCCCTTCGGAAACTGAGGTGGAGATCCGTGAGGGCTGTGAGATGGTGGTAGATAAGAAAAACTGCTCTTTCAAGATCGTGATGAAGTCAGACAAGGCACAAGCCTGTGATCCCAACTGAACTCACTGTAAAGTGACCTTTACTCAGGCTCATGCTCTTGTTTTATCTCAGTCACTCCACAATAAGGCAGCGAGGACTGCACCTTCTCATTAAAATCAATAGAAATAAAGCCAAAAATCTACTCCAGTTTTCTCTGTTTGTGTGCTTATCGCTCTCTCTCTCTCTCTCTCTCTCTTTTCCTCTCTCTCCCTCCTTCCCTCTCTCCCTCTCCTCTCTCGCACACATTCTCCTTTTCTCTCTGTTGACACCATGCCTTCAGTGTCATTTTCAGGATGTAGTTAAATAAATCCACCACTATGTGACAGCAGAGCCTGTTGCTCAGTAAAAAAACAACCCCGGTTCACAAAGGGCTATAACAACCCAATTATAGTCATGCTCCTCCATCCACTGTCTCTGTCACAGTCGCTCAGTTGGTTATAATGTGAAGCTCCCGCTCCAACTCTCATCTCTTCTTTACTCTCATCTCTGTGTGGATTCGCACCTGTTCAGACCTCTCATTGTTCTCTCAGTCAGCCAGGCACCGCACAGACGCTCCACGGTGGCTGCTCACCAAGTAAGTGCTTTATTTTTTTACTGTTTTTACTCACACTAATGAGCATTCTTTAGGAACTTAATGACATGTAAAAACCCAGGGTGCCTTATTTCTCCACTGTCTACTTGTTTCTCAGTTGTAATATTACGCTTTGCTCCCTTCATCTTCGTCTGCCATTCTTGCTGTGATGAGATGTCACATGCACCCACACTTAAGGTAAACTGTGCAGAACAGACATGGAGATTAGGAGGGATGCCAAATGCCTGTTTTCATCTTGAAATGGAGGAATGTTGGGAAATAAAAAATATATTGGCAGTTTTGGAAATCATAGCAGAAACGTCTGGGGTGATATTAATACTCAGAGCTCCTGACTCCTCCAGCTGAACACCATGAGGTTCCAGCCATTATGTGGGATGATGAAAACACCTCAGTGTCTGCTGCTGCTCCTGCACATCCCAGAGAGAAATGGATGAATGAGTGAATTAGTTCATTACTCTCCTGATTGCATTTTGACACATGGAACGTTGACTTCATTTCGTGACATTTTACATTTTTATTCAAAGGTTAGATTTTGTCCTTCTGTTACACAGTTTGATAGATTAACAAAGAGAAAGAAAATCAGTTCCACAATAAAAGTGAGATGGGCAGAATCCAATAACATTAGTTAATAAAAACAACCTCAGCAAAAGTCACCAACCTTGACACATGAGTCCTAGTGTCAACATTTATCCATTTAAACACTGACCTTCAAATACTTTCGAATAGGTTTTGCGACCCTGACATTATATTTAGCCTTAAAAACCAGGAACACGGCAAAAAAAAAAGTATTATTTTAATTTCTGTGTGAGAGTTTGTGTTCATTGTGTCATTTCTTAGAGACAGTTTCCAGGCCTTTACTGATGTCCACACATCTATTAATTAAAAAAAGGATATCCTGAAAAAAAAAATCTAGGTTTAAACAAAAATGACTAGAAGTGATTTATATTTTGCTCCAAGGGAACAGCCCCCTCTGCCTGTACTTTCTCTTTCTTACAAGTGGGTGTAAATATCTACCAGAGAAAAGGAAAGTGACACGACTGCAACTCAATGGGTGCAGAGTTGCCATTAAATCCCAAAGAAGGAGGGGCGAAGGGTTAGGAGGAGGAACAGCAGTAGCTCTAGATTTCTGGCAGCTCTAAAACATGGGCTCCAAAGTATTATTGTCACCTATATTGAATTTTATACATACATAATTTTTAAATATTATTTTACAATACATTTGGAGTGGACACATTGTGGTCTTATGATGCAGCATTTAGGAAAACAGAAAGTAGATTTTTTTTCCTTTCACATATGGAGGACACATCTCTGTGAGGGGACAGCAGGAGATGATGGACAGGAAGAGGTCACTCAGTCCTGTGCATTACTTTTCTTGAGGGGATAAAAATAACACCGACTGTCTTCACTGAATGGCTTTTAGTGTCACATCTACCACACTCATTATGACAGTTTTGCATTTGCTAATTAACGGCTTAGATGCCTTGGTCTGCTCCCGCTGCTTGTAATTCCTACCTGTTACGTCTAGTAACAAGTGACATATGCAGTAAAAGCGTGGTTCTTCTCCTAGTTAAGGATGATGTTGTACCACGCTGCCTGCAGCGCACTTAGCACACTGCCACAGTAGGTTAGTAATGATGCAGTGTGAAGGGACTGATAGCTGAGTGTGTGTACCGTCATGTGGAAATGACAGGCACTTTCTTCACAGCACATGGCTGTGCTTTAAGGAGAAGACAGGTCTATATGTATTAGGAGGATTCTGACAATGACACGTCCCTGCACTCCATTTATTATGTCCTACAAGAAAGATAGTGTGTGATCGATGCAATCTTATTGTCATTAATCTGTTTTAGGCATGTGTGGGAACCTGAGCAGAGGATTTATTGTAGAAGGGAGGAGTGACAGTTTGAAGAGTGAAAGACTGAGAGTTGGTGTAAGATGAAGCAGCAACTGAATCTGTGCTGCTGCTGCTGCTGCTGCGGGGATGCTTTACATAAAATTCCACTTCTGCTGCACAGATCAACCTTGTGCTCATTTTGACTGATTCTATTTGCATACATTTTGGAAGATTTGGTGTTAGTGGCGCCTGAACTTGAAGCATCCTTGATTAGTTTAATTGGAAATGGGTCATAAACCAACAGTTCAAGATCCTCAGAAAATGAAATGTTTGTAGCATGAACATAAATGAACATGAAATGAATCCTATTTGTTGATACTGTATATTTTGGTTTGAGCAAAAAGAGGTTTAGAATGAGACGTTTTTTAGGCATGCCGTATGTCAAACAACTATGTGTTATGTTATTCTTCTTATTTCTTAAAAAAGAAATTAATTCAAAGCATGAAATCTACATGACCGGCGTCAGCATGTAGAATGTAAAAACCAGCAGGAAAAGGTAGTCCTTTAAACCTGCACCTTCATACCAAGTTTGTCATATTTATTTAAATTCGTTCCTTTACAGGAGGCTTTTCTTTGATGTCTCACAGTTTGTGTGCAGCGTCTTCCTGCCTCAGTGGGAGGCAAATGTTATATAAATATTAGGGTTGCAATGACAGTTCTTGGAAACACAGATAGCATCACATATCTTCAAGTTGTTCAAACCTTTTTGTTTCTGTGGAGAAAAACATGACAGAGAGACTTCCTGTACATCTGACCTTCTCCCAGTTGCCTTCCAATATGTCGTTGTATTGTTCCTGGAGTTACCCTCCATGATCATGACGCGACCTGCAATATCTGAGAAAGTGTGTCTTTGTGAATATTTTTTACGTATTTTGTACTCTAAAAGCATCTTAGCTAAAGCTCAATTTGCCAATACTCATTTTTGGGCAATTCTCTAATGAACTGAAAAGATTACATGTATAATGTTAACTTTTAATCACACAGAATAATGGATAAAGACCTGGATAAAGGATAAAAAAACCTTCAGTTTAGCGTAATGGAGCCTGAGTCATTTTCTCTACCTTTCAGTAAATATAAACCAGTTAGTTTTAATAAAGCTTATAATTTCGTCTGACTTGTTTTTTTAAGTTAAATGTGTCACTTTATTCTCTCTAATCATTTGTGTTCTTCTCTTCTTTTGACCCCAGTTGTATGGTTTCAAAGGAATATGATGGGACGTTTTCTACGAATGCCCTGGTGAGATGACTTCAAGTGAAAACACAAGTCAGTCTTTTCCATCAACCACATTTCTACCTGTGTACTTCAACGGCTCAACCTCCCCACAGACCCCGCTGTGGGATGAGGGCCAAAGCAGCCACGAGTCTGTGCTGTGGTCATCAAATAAGTCCCAGTTCTTCTCAAACCTCTTTGTTCTTGGCCATGAAGAGCAGTGTCACATGTCCCCTGCCCTCACAGGGGTTCTGGTGGTGTGGTATTGCATCACAATGGTGCTCGGGCTGGTTGGTAACGTCGGGCTCATATGCATCATTGCTCATCGCAAAGAAAAAGTCAACGTCACCAGTATTTTCATCTGCAATCTGTCTTTCTCTGACATCCTGGTCTGTGTCTTCTGTTTGCCGTTCACTGTGGTTTACACGCTGATGGATCACTGGGTGTTTGGGTCGCTGCTGTGTCGCCTGGTCCCGTTCATCCAGTGTTTGTCCGTTACTGTGTCGGTGCTTTCTCTGGTCTTCATTGCTCTGGAAAGACATCAGCTCATCATCAATCCCTCTGGTTGGAAACCAAGCGTTCCCCAGGCCTACACTGCAGTCATTCTCATTTGGATTCTGGCCTGTTTCACCTCCACGCCTTTCTTAGCTTTTCAGCTTCTTACAAATGAGCCGTACACAAATGTAATCCCACCAAATTCCCCTCTTCTTCACAGAGCCTCTCCTCAAGCCAATATCAATTTGTCTTGGCCTCAATCTGTCCCCCACATATACAAAAACTCATCTGTTCCAACCAATTCATACCGTGCCCTTATGTCTTACGTACCCACAATTACACATATGGAGGCCTGTCTGGAGCATTGGCCATCCCAGCAGCACAGGCTGGCTTACACCACATGGCTCCTGCTGTTCCAATACTGTGGCCCCCTGTTGCTCGTTCTTCTCTGCTACATAAGGGTTTTCGTACGTCTACGGCACCGAAAAGAAATGCTGGACCGTACCAGGGCCTTAGAGAGCCAACGCATGAACCACAGCCGCAGAATCAACATCATGCTGGTTGCCCTTATTACAGCATTCGCACTCTGCTGGCTGCCACTTACAATCTTCAATGTGGTCTCGGACTGGAACCAGGAAGCTCTGCCTGTCTGCCACCACAACCTGCTCTTCTCCCTCTGCCACCTGCTGGCGATGTCCTCCACCTGTATCAACCCCATCATCTACGGCTTCCTCAACTACAACTTTCGTCAGGAGGTCAGAGATGTGTACCTTCACTGCTGCTGTCACCCTCTGGAGGAAGAATGTGAGCAATTTCCCATGTCCATCGTGCACATGGAAATGTCACGAACGTCTGAGCCTGTCACATCTAGAAGTGAATTGGTCTGATCTTTAAAGCTGCAGGTGCACTTGATAATGTAGCAAAATCAGGCTGGGATTAACCGTATGAATTCTTCTGGTCTGAGACGTCGTGAGGGGTAAAGACCCATTATTTGTTGTGAATGCATATATGGCTGAACTGACTTTTTTTCCTGCATTATTTGCATTGAACAAAAGTTCAACAATATATATTGTGGCTTTGACTCCATCATTTCTGCATGACTCCACTATGTTCTATTTAAATATTTTACTCACTGTTTAAATTGAAAGAGAAAGAGAAAAAATTGGATATATCAGTGTCACTACTTCAAGTTGAAGTCCTTCTACATTTCCAGGGATTACGATGTCTGATAACAATACTTTTAATGACAACTTTTTTATTTATTTTATTTGTACTTTTGTGTTTCTTAAATCTTTCTTTGGTTGAGTGTTATAAGGGACCAAATTAAAACCACAGGAACATTTATCAGACCTTAACTCCCCTAAACTGAGCAGCAGTGGTTGTTGTCAGTAGTTTAAAATATATACGTAAAGATGTATAGCTGTACAATGAACAGTGTTTTTTCATTGTAATTTTCTGTTTTTTACGTAAGGTTTGTCTATATGTTATAGAATTGCATGTTAAAGAAAAGTTCATTTTGTGGTTAACAATAAACTTTGAACAAAATGTATGTATGTGCTGTATGTCGTACGTATGTGAAGGTTAGACTCTGATTGTACTTTTTACAATTTGCTATATTTGTATATTCATTGAATACTTGTGTAGTAATATTTATGTGAAACCAATGTAGAGAAAAAGCAGATTTATATCTCGTCTTGATGTAACAGGTTATGACCTTGAAATGAAAATGAGAATGGGAGAGTAACGAATCATTTCATTGACTTTATGTAATATGTAATAAAGTAGTTGAAATAAAATAGTGTGTCTGCAATTGTACATGACACCCAACCAGGCCTTCAAGGCCAACTATAAAAACATACAATTAAATTAACAGACATATATGTATGCATTTTACAGTAACTACAACATTAAATGCCAAAAATATATACATTTTTATAGTTACATTAATTGCGTAAATATACACTAAAATAAAGACACCAAAGAAAGTAATGTCTGTATTAAAAAATAAATATATATTTAAATAAATTATGATCAGAACATGTGTGAGTCTAACATTGTTTTGATTGATTTGTCATTATCCGTGTAATCTTAAAAATCGATATTTTTCAAGAAAAAAAAAACCTTTTACATTTTGCTCAGATTTCTAAACTTTTGAAAACTAATGGGAAGATGAAAGCAAGTAGGAAGTGACGTGTATTTACGTTTCGCTAATGTTTACCATATATCCCAGAATGCCTCGCTTTACAAAATGAACGCGCCGATAATGGCTACAGTTCGTAGACGTGCTCGCAACCCACTATATGCAGTTTAAGTTCTACACGGTTCGAAAAGTAAGTGCCCGACAACTTAAGAAACGGAAAGCAATTATTTTTTATGCCTGTGCACTGAGACGTAGAACGCTGTTAATACGCATGTCAACAACATTTTACGGAAGCGAAAACTGCGGAATGACAACTTGGTTCCTCAGTTCTCTGGATTAGCAGATACATCTGATATAACGGACAGTCCATTGATGACGTGACCATCCAGATATGAATCAGAATCAAATACTTAATTTCATTTTTTTTTCAGTTTATGTTGATGTCAGTCAAAGTTTTTATTAACAACCTTCTGGGGATTACTGTTTAAAGTACACGCGACATGCCATTTTTGTATAATATTCAAAATATATATCTATAAACGTTATATTGTTAGCTAAGGATATGATTGTTATAAATGTCAATGATTAATGTTAGACAGATAAGCTTTTATTTCAATTTTGTAACGAAGTAGCAACGTATACAAAGCTAACAATAAAAAGAGTCATATATTGGTGGTTTTTTACTTTATGCAAAGTAGAATACGGTTTTTTTTAACTATATACAAAATTCTCAGAAATGTTTTTCTAAATGATTGTTTCTTTTTAAATAAATAACATATTACCGTATGATTCATATTTTTTCCCCTTAACTGTGTAACTCTATGATATTCAATTGTAGGTGATTCTTGGGATCACACAATCAAGGAATGGCTATGCACTGCAAAAGTTCAGTTCTTCAAGGTGCTTTTCATAATTTTTTCCCTTTGCAGACCAATTGAAATTCATGACTTCATTTATAACTTTTTTATTCCCTCTGCAGATGTTGTTGCCTACGTTGATGTGTGGTCCTCAGAGAAAACTGCAAATTATTCAAAACCCTTTGTTCAACAGCTGCAGGAAATGGGAGCTCAGGTGGACAAAGGACACACAAAGACATTTAAGTTACTTCTTCTCATCAGTACTGCACATACAAGTATTGAACTTGAATTTGCCTTTGCTTTTTAGGTAACAAAAACATTTAATAAAGAAGTCACACATGTTGTCTACAGTAATGGTCACCCTGCCACATGGCGAAAAGCTAAGAAAAGTGGTGTGAGGCTTGTCTCAGTTCTCTGGGTAGGAAGGTTGGTACGCTATTTTTTTAATAAAGTAATTTACTATTGTTCTTTTATGGAATTGTATCAAACTCATATTGTATCAATCCCCCCGCCCTAAATAAAACGGTGCCCAGTTGTTACCAAGATGGTGTTCAGAAAGACGAGGACCTGTTTCCAGCCATAAGCAATGAAAACAATCCTGTACTTAAAAACAAGAAAGTGAGTAAAATCAGAGCTTACCAACATTTTTTTGTTATTGCTGTCTTAGTTATAAAGTCTAAAAAATAATAAGGTTAAAATGTGAGTTATTGTGAGTTGTTACACAAAGTTGAAATAAAACTACAGTTTCACTTGTTATTGTCACAGTGAAACTCCCAGCTACTCTTAATTTAACTAGATATACTTTTAAACTCTATTGCCTTTTATCTCACAATATATTTCTGTGTGGTGTATAGCATCGCTGCATGCAGCCAAAAGACTCTCCAGAGAGTACACCTGAGAATGACAAGCGCATAAAAAGGAAATTAGACAGGATGATGAGAGACCTTCCTCCTAGACAACCTCTGGGTTAGTGATGACTACAAATCTTAAAATACATAGTTACTAGTTATACGTTTGAGTCTTAATTATCTGTGTTTTTTTTTTTACAGTAACAGATATATCTCCCATCATTATCGATGAAGAGAATGGAATAGTCTACAGTCCTTTGTTGAGAAGATCAGATTACATGGCACAACGACTAAAAGCCATGAAAGAAAAGAGGGAAGACCTTTCACCCACTGGTATGAACAGCAGCAGTTGAACAGATTGTGTCAGATTGTTATTTTTCCAATTCCCACTAATTCATAAAAGTCTCACTCTTTTTAGCTTCTCAAATGATTGACACATCTTCACCCATTGGCCAAAAGCCTTCACCTGGAAGCTCCCCAACAGACCTAAAATTTAAGTGTAAGTAAATATTTGTTTATTATTTATTCCAACATAACCTCATGCATTTAGGTATAAGCGGGAAAAAAAGAAGCAGTAGACCAGTCAGTGTATTTTATGTAGGTGACTGGAAGCCCTTGTTATTAAAAAAAACAACTAAAATGAATCAATTTAAAAGAAATCCTAATTATTTCTGGTTTTTTTTTCAGTTGATAGTTTAAGTGCTCCAGCTGCTGAATCAGACTGTTCACCAGATAAGGAAGAAAAAAGAATGGAATTAGACTTCCCTGACTACAAACGTTTCCAAAAACACTGCAGGAAAAGCTCTGACAAGCCGTGGCTGTCACCATGTCACAGCGTTCCAAAAATAATATCGAGTCCTTTGAAATTTCCTGTCTTTGAGGACGATGAAGAAGGGAAAAAACCACAAAAGTCAAGATGGACATCAGTCAAAAAAAAGCTTGGAGAGAATTCCAGTTCTGTGGCTCCATTAGAGAGTCCTCTTCAGGATACAAGACCTGAAATCCGCAGTGGCCACAAATGGATAACAAGTCCTTTAAAATGTCCCAACTTTGACCACAGTGAAGAGAAGACGCAACCAGTAAAATCACGAAGGAAATCAGTCAGAAAGAAGTCAGAAACTAACAAGACTGTCGGTTTGCTAGAAAGTCCTCTCCAGGTTGAAGCTTCGGAGGGAACAAATGTCACAAAAATTATATCAAGTGCTGTTGAAAGCCTTGATGTTGAGGATGATGAAGAAAGGAAAAGACAACTAATATCAAGAAGGACATCAGTCAGAAAAAAGCCAAAGGAGAAGTTTTCCTCCACGGGTTCATTAGAGAGTTCCCTCCCGGAAGTTGGCAGTACCTCTGGAAGGATAACTTCTTTAAGTTCTTTAAAATGTTCTGTCTTTGACAAAAGTGAAGAGAGACAACAACCAGTAAAGTCACGAAGGAAATCAGTCAGACAAAAGTCAGAGACCAGTAAGACGGTGGCTTTGTTAGAAAGTCCTCCTCAGGTCGAAGATTTCAGAGGCCTTATCTCTGAGGAGCACGGAGAGGGAGACGATCAGAAGTCAAGCAGGGTATCATTTAGTGAAAAATTAGAAATTTGTAATTCTGTAGTTTCTTTAAAAAGACCTTGTCAGGACACAGGTCCTATGCATAGCACTGTCACAAAAACAGTACCAAGCCGCTTAAAGGACCTTGAGGGAAAAGGAGAGAACAGTGGACAAAAGTCAAGGAGGCCGCCCGTTGACACATCTAAAAAGGGAAAACTTAAAACTGACGAAACCTTTTCAGCGGCTAAGACAAACTCTTGTCCTGATTATGTGAATTCTCAATCATTTTCAGCATCTGTAGTTACATCCTCTAGAGAGACTGTTATTCCGTTAGACAAAGCGGAACAGAAAATATCCAAGCGTGCCCGACCTTCACTTTCTGCCTTGGCCCGATCGTTAACAATACCTGATGGATCTCCTAACGTCCCATCTTCTGCTGATGCCAACGACGATGTGTTTGAGGATTACTTTTCCCCTTGCAACAAACACAAGAAAATGAAAAACCCTCTCTTGCCCAACCTGCCCACAAAGAGTGACATTCAAATCCCTTTTCAATTTGAACCCATATCAAAAAAGAGGAAAGACAGGAGAAGTGAAGGCCCTGGATTTGAAAGCAGTGGTAAAAAGAGGAGAAAACTGGAGGAAGGTCAGGGATTCAGAAATCAACGTCTGCACTCAGATTCAAGCAGTCATCCACAGCAGGATGTCGAGGAACCCCCACCTGTACTGCACAGCAAAACACTATTGGCTAAAAAGCAAAGGCAGTGCACTTTGCCATTTACCAGAACCAACACAAAAACAGAAAGTGATGACATTGAACAAAGAACACCTCCTGCACAACAGGCGTCCACCGGAGGAGAGAGGGTACCAACACTGGTGAAAGAATCTGAAGTGTGTTCTCCAAGTGAGTAGTAGAGAGGCTGCTTTCCAGAATATACATTACATGTTTCTTTCTATATATATATTTTTTTTATAAGTTTGAGGTACTACTTATAGTATATATTTCTGTTATTATATATCATTGTTGCAAACTACAAAAATAAAGGAACTAATTCAACACAAATGAGGTTGCTTGTTTGTATGATTCCCTAAGTGTTTGTAGGCTAAAGGCTAAATTCATAAGTCATATCTTAGAAAGTATTATTTACATTATTATTCAGCTGTGTTCAACGTGTTTCCATTTAAAGAACTAATTTTGTGTCTGTATGGGTTTATGATTTCATCCCATGGACAGCAGACACAGTAGTCGGCTGCTTTTGAAACTCATGTTGTTTCCGTAGGTGTGTTTTTCATTTTATCAGCGTGTGTCAAATATGCTTGGTGTCCCTATCTCCATTACACGCTGAGATCTGACCCACAACAATCTAAAGGCATGAGTAGACATGCAAATAAGCAGGTGCACATTTTAAAAAAAACCCAACAAAACTTGCAATATAAATAGATTAAAAAAGAAATTAAAGGTGTTAGAGCTGTGCAGCAGATTCAATTTTATGACACTCCCATCTTGTGGTCTGAATTTGTTTTTGTTTTTTTTAAGGTGGAGGAAATGAACTTGCAGATGCAGCTGGTGTAACAGAGAGTCCCTCTGAAGGTGAAGAAGCTCAAACAAAACTCATCGGTGTGAATGCACTGGAAATGGGCAACAAGACAAAGGTAGGGGGAAGATTTTTATTCTGTAGTTATAATAGCCTTGTACCTTTTAACAACTCATAATATATGTATCACACATTTAATTGTGTTACCAACAAAAATGGAAACACAGTGTGAAGGAAAAAAAAGTACAGCCAAAACAGGATTGACATTTTTGACTAGAATTCCAAAATAATCAAACTAACTCACTTCTCTGTGTGTTGTAGGAACTTGTCCACTGACATTTTACAGTAAAAATATCAGACCAAGCATGACTAATTCTTGTTTTTTTCAACACAGGAGGTTCAGTTAGATGATTACACATGATCACAAAGATGTCTTTGTAATTATTTCCATTTTTAGGTATTTCCTCCATAAGCTCATAAACTTCCATAGGTGTGGGCGTTTGACGTATCCAGCCCAAGAGGATTCTGTCTGATCTTGAGGGTTTCCTTTGTTTTGCCTGTCTGATGGTGGCGTACAACATCCTCACTTCTGAAATGCACCTGGGCTTTGTTTTCGTTATGCTGCTTACCTCAACAAGCTGCAAAAAGTGAAGCATGACATCACGTCCCCCCTGCCATCTGTTATGGTCTGCCTTCATGGCAAAGATGTTACATGTACATTTTCCTTGGATGGTGGTGTTAAAGAAAAGATTAATGTATAAATATGTTTGTTTTTTTTCTTCACACAATCTTCAGTTTTGTGTTTGTGATGACTGGTGGGAAAAATCACACCTGCGCTGCTCTCGACTGAGGTGCAGAAGGCAAATGATAAATTCCATGTTCCTCCGCTCCAGTGCAGAAGTGCCGATTTTCTGCTTCTCTGTTGCTGTGGAGAGAGTTCCATTAGACCTGGTGAAATAGTTGTTCATGGTTCTTATGTGCTTCTAAAAAGAGTACAGAACATCTCACTATTGTGTATCACTATTGTAGTCTTCGCTGCTTGATTCCTCATGGAACTAATTTCACTTCATTGTCCTCCTGGTATTATCTAATAATGTTTCAGTTATTTAGCAATCATTTCTGACGTGCAGTCTCACCTTTTTTTTTATCTCACTCTCTTTTTTTATGGAAAAACCCATCTGGTGCTTTTTACGTGTGGCTGGTAATTGTGATTAGCTCTGGCAGCACTAGTTGCCCTCCTTTAGCAAAAAAACGTATTTATCTCCCTTTGATTTTCTGAAAAAACATCATTTCACTGCAACATTACGCATCGAGTCCCTGCAGCAGTTCACACTGGCTCTTTGTGGAAAAACTCATTCTTCACTGCCTCTCTCCTTGTTTCTCTGCCAGAATATAAGATCAGCCCTGCTGGAGATTCCTCTGGAGATCCCTCCCATTTGGTGTTTTTTTTTCCTGTGTGTGCCTTAAGGCAGTGGTCCTGTGGTGTTGACAAAAATGCTGTTCGTCAACTTAAAAAAATAAATAAGTGAAAAATGTCAACTGCCTAACAGGAGCAAGACAAGTGTCAGGCCTTTACACTAGGCTGATGACAGGCAGCGGAGAGATGAATCAATGACAAACCGACAAATATTTTGTTTTTTATCAGGTATTTTTATAGATAAATTCAGCTGCTTCTGGCCAATTTCGATGTGTTCTGCACGCTGCTTTTCTTGTACCATTTGAAAATGCATCAGCTGTGCTTTCTGTGGTACAGTTATTGTGTTTTTCAACATCAGTTGGTTATTTAAGAAGACAGATGAATTCACTCTCTGTTTCTCTCTGCAGACTGCAGAATACATGTAAACAAATTATAATCCTACTCAGCTCCTGAAAGGGTCTGAAAAGAAATTACTGGTTGTTTTTGTATTATAGTGCTTAGTTTTACACCCCTTCACTTTTTCATTAGCAGCAGATCACGGATATGCACAGGGGGCGTGGGGGCCGGGGGGTGCAGAAGAAGAAGCTGTTGACTAGAAACGGGGAGAAAATATGTCTGGTTTCCCAAACCCAACTAATTCTAGGCTTTGGGAAACGTTAGTGACACATAAGTCGATACAGATGGATGTTACCTGACTGACCTGTGGAAAATGTGTTCACACTTCAACACCCTTCACATCCAGATGAGAGGGTTTATCCCAAAGCAATGTGTTTACCTTTGTTTTAGGACAAACTGAAAAAATATGAACGTAGTGTTAAAGTAAATTCTGCCTTGTTTCTCTTGGTTATCCTTGACTATTTTCTTCTGTTGCGCCACCTTAACGTAATGACGTATGGTCCAGAGAAATGAAATATCACAAAATATCCATTTGTTGTATTATAAATGGCTTTTAGCTGAGTTTTATGTATACTGACAAATGTAAGCTTTTACTGAAAAGAGAAAACTTCACTACTCGAAGAATTTAGATCCACCTTTTACTTCTTCAAAAGACTGGTCCCTTCAGGTGTTGCCTGGGAAACATCATTTTAATAGAAGTCAACAGATATAGAAGGGAGGCAAACGAATCAACTGTTTACAGAAAACAGGAAGATAAACTTTTGTGGCTTTTGTTCTGTGCTGCAGAGTTTAAAGAGGTCAAGAGAAATGATTTGTTTGTTTGTTTCATCATTTCTTGTGTCTCTCATTATTTCAGATTGGAAGAACACTGGTCACGACGAGCATGCCTGCTGAGTAAGTGCCTCAAGGTTCTTCCTGAGAGAAATATTGAAATACAAATGTAATATAAAAACATTTTTTTATCTGTTTTTGTTTTGTAGGAAACAGGACACAGTGTTTCAGGTGGTCAAAGCTCTGGGTGGTTTTACAGTCGTTGACAGAGTTTGTGAAAGCACAACACACGTGGTGTCTGGGGGTCACCGACGGACCATCAATGTTCTGTTGGCCATAGCTCGTGGCTGCTGGATACTGTCTTTTGAATGGGTACGGAGTGTGGTATATTGATGCCAACAGGTGATAAGAATATGATTAAAGGCAGACCTGATGTTCGTTTTTCTATTTCCTGTCAAGATCATGTGGTGCTTGGAACAAGGACAGTGGATTCCAGAGGAGCCTTATGAACTTTCCGACCAATTCCCAGCAGCACAGGTCAGAACTAAATTCAGCCTTGTTTTTTTCTGCTGAATTTTTGATTTTTTTCCTCCGAGGTGTATTATCTATGGTCTTTAGCTGACTTGCAGTAAATCATTATCATCCTTATTGCATTCTGACAAAGATTAACTTTTACTAAGAACAGAAAAGTCATTCAGTTTTCTGTCTGCCAGTTTTCTCTGAACTAAAATATATGGAACTTAAATGTAAATTTAAATGCTTCTTCCCCATCTCTTCGTTCATGAGTCATCATCCTTTTCTAACGCAGCAAAGAACAGACTACTGTCCTACTGCGGACATGTGTCTATCTGTGTCCTTGGCTGTGTAATGGCTTCTGTTGAACCAGATAATATTTGATCTCATTGTGGTTTTCCATTCTTCTCTCGTCTGAATACATCCAGGAAAAACAAGTTATAAAAATAGACAATTAACATTAACTGTGAATTTCTTTTTATTCTGCAGAATGAAACTGACTGTACACCTAATAATCCCAATGTTGATCTGTGTGTCCACGTAATGTTCTAGTAACAGTCAGTACACAAACTCTGTATTGTAAAAAAAAAAAGAAAGAAAAAAGAAATACACACTCGCACTCAAGGACATTTGGATAAATGATGCAAGCATGAATAAAAATCCTAAAAACAGAAAAGCGCAAAAATACATCCACTGTCTGCCCATCAGAACAATGATAATGTTAAATATTAATCTCAAAATCTACTTATAAATTAAACAACACATTTACATACATTATACTCTCTGGAGAAAAAAAATAGTAACAATTTTGTGGCCTTTTTACATTGACATTTACATTTTGTCATTAAGTTTTACTTTTGAGCAGTTCTTTCTCTCCATGCTGTACCATAGTCTCCTTTCTGAATAATTACATTTACTGCTGTGATTTATTGCAATAAATAACAAGGATGGTCCAATACTACATACATATATTTTTTTCTTTAGTCTCTCCTGATGAGAAATCACTTGTCACTTGTTAAATCAAGGTACTTCCAACAGCTTGGTATCATCAGTATATGTTAATGTTACTTTAAAAATAATTGTTTTGAAAAACCCATTCAAACCCTTTTGAGTATGTATTGACATGTGTGGTATAATGTTGTGCTTTGGGTCATTGAAGTTGTTTTGCTTTTAAGCTTTTGTCAGTTTCCTGACGGTTGTTACAGAGAACGCTTGAAGTCTGCTGGTCTCATCATCATCGTAGTGGACTTGAGGGAGTAGCCTGAGCCTTTCCAGTAGTACCATTTGATTCCGTTGAAGCGATTTGAGTTTTGGCCTCGCTGGTAATACATTCCATTCAAATTTGAGGGACCACAGGCATCAAACCACCAACCTAGGACATTGAAATCAAACATCAACATTCAAATTTGGCTGTGCAGCATCAGGAGGAGATATTGCAAAAGAGCAATTACAATATATGCTTTGTGTGTATTGGGGTAGTGATATGCAGTGTGTAAATGTTTTGTTTCTGGGAAGAATGTTAAAATTCTTTGCTCTGTACATCACTTGAAAAATAGTTTAGGTCGGAGCACAATATCCTTGGAGATCCTGACTTTATTTAATAAGGTAAATGCACTTTCTTTTTGCATTTTTTCGATTTATGTAAAGTAAAAAAAACACAGTGCTGTTTCATGATACAGTGTAATGAACTTCATAATGAGAGAACTAAAGAATTCTAACTTTTGTGTTTGTTAAAAAAGTATTATAGTTCTTTTTGTTTGTTAATTCCCCTGTGAGAATCGCCCAATGGAAAAGTTAAGAGGGTGAGGATTTTAATGCTTTCACGCTAAGTTGGCAAACGTCCATTCACTGAGGGACCAATCTCTGGCAGTGAAGTAACTTTCTGGGGAACAGAGGAGGACCTCTGAGCTCTGTTCCCAGGCTGTTAATGTCACCCATTGTAGAGGCTGAATTCTCAGATAAGTTGATCAGTGATTAATTCTGAGCTAATTGTGCTCTTTAACCTCTTTGCAGAAGAACTAGAGCCCTTTAGAGGCTTCTGGAGATGTTTAGGAAAAGTGCCAGTGGGTGTGTTTGTGTTGGAGCTAGCGCCTAATGTAAACCTCCAATGTATTTTTCTGACTGAAAAGAAAATAACAATACGAACACAAACAAACTGTCTGTTACCTCCACTTGACAGTTGCGAGCATTTGCAAACACACTTGTCATTGTCTGCATCCTTTGTGCTAAAATCACTTCCTGGCTGCCCGATGCTGCTTGTTTTGCCTGCTGTTCCACTGTAGCCTTTAAGGTGTATCCTGTTGAATGAAAAATGAGAAATGAAGGAAGAGGAGGAGGAAGTTTGTGACTGTTGTTCCTCAACAGGCACCAGGCTCCAGTTAACAGTACATACGTAGAATCGCGTGTTGTGTCAAACGCAGCCAGATCTGTTCAGTGTTGTCTTCATGACAAACTGGATCATTTTTAAATGGGACTTGAACAGTGCTGTGTTCAAGTGCTTTACTGCTGAACTCTCCTTAAATGGAAAACGTCTTTGTTCGTAATACAAGGATAACTCAAAAAGTTCTAGGACAAATTTTAAACATTTGTTATATATATAAAAAAAGACTTCTGGGAGTTCTTTTTTTACACCAGCTAAAGGCCAAACCTGCAACTTTGCCTCATCCAAGGACAGTCTGAAGAGCTAAAGGACATTTTCTATTGAAATTTCTTAAACCTTTGGGAAAAGGGAAATCAAACCTGTTGCAAAGCATCAATAATTTTAATAGATATTAAATTAAGTTGAGTGAAAAGTTGTACGTTTGCTCAATTTAAATTTTTCTTTTCTTAAGAAATGAATAATAACAATTGACATATTAATTAAATCATTAATAGTAATAATAATAACAATACATACATCTTTGAGGTTAGGGTGTACTAGTACCTGTAATTCTGTGCTTCATCTTCTACTGAAAACTGGTCATACTGTGAAAAGCCAGAGTTTCCATCCCAGTCACTGAGCTGGATTCTCAGTTTATAGGACTTTTGTCGCGAGAGTCTGGAGATAAATTCATTTCCCAACCAGAATTCACCAGAAGGTTCTCCAAATCCCTGGAAAGACAATAAAATCAGAACACTTAAAAATCCACCATGGTTGAACTTAATGGTCACTTAATGTCATATATACAGTGGCAGTACAAAAGGTCAGTTTCCCTGTGGATGTTCTTTATAGAGTTATGTGGTGGATTATTTATCAATCTCTTATTTGTCTTAACCTCTGTGTTCAAAACTGTAGTTTATCTTCTTCTTTTTTTTCTCACATTCTGGACTCGACTTAATAAATCAGCACGTCCTTAAAAGCGTTTTCACCATTGGCCGAAACCAAAGCTGGCCAGTGAACTGTGCATTTGAAGTGAAAAGCGTAGCCTAGGATATATTTTCTTAGAGAAAGAATTCATTCCGTTTAGCACGCTTTTACCTTTTTATACTCTTGCCACGTACGGTGAAAGTCAACATGACCGTCAAAGCGTTTTTGTAGAACTGTCCAGCCTCCTCCTTCTGTCTCCATGTCACAGAAAGCCTTTAGACACATAGAAACCAAGCTGTAATTAATAACTTGAATGAATGAATCTTCTAGAAAGGTGCTAGCTTGTTTAAGTTTCTTTAAAACAAATGTTAAACTGAAGACAAGAGTTATGGGCCAAACCATCAGAACACACATTGATTGGTGAATACTTAAAACAAAAAACAAAAAGTACAAGTTCTTAAAGGCAGTAATTTTGTCATAGTCGTGCACCAAGTGGCTCTGGTCACCAGGAAATTGAAATGTGCGAGGAAATTAAGTAATTCATATTTACTGTAAATGTAGTAATTAGTTTAGCCCAAATTATGACAATTTCATTACGTAATATAAAGTAATGATCCTGAAATAAAAAAGTACTACTGTGAAGTACAAAGGAAGAGATTCTAAAATTAGGTAAAAAGAAACATATTAAACTTAATTAAAATCAGTATTATGAGATAAATTCAGTTCTATCCCATATCTCGTGGACTTTCTTGCCCGTTCATGGTTAGACACTGTTAACATTCCTAGGCTCACTGCACCTTGACTTCCACTGTAGTGTTGGGCAGTGTGAGTGTGTAGACTCCACTTTGGGTGTTTCCTGACTTGTAGACAGCAGCACAGTCCATGAAGGTGGTGGGATTGTCCTGCATCATGGCTGATTTGGTCACTGTAGGGGGAAAAAATCAGCCGTCACTGCACACACGCCGGTTGAATAAGAGTCCTTGTCCATGTATGTTGAAAGAAAACATGTATTAAGGTAACTAACTGGGAGCTGCGCCACCAGAGATGCTCTCAATGAGGCTGTTGACGGTGTCCAGTAGTTTTTGCTGCTGACGCTGTAGGACACTATTGTTGGAGGAGACCTTGAGCAGCTGCTGCTCCAACTCGCATATGATAGCCGTCTGCTTCCGTATCAGAGTCTGGAGCTGCTCCTTCTCCTCTTTAAACACCATCAGCTCCCCCTGTCGATGCTTCTCTATCTCCTCCACCTTTTTCTCCAAGAAGCTGAGTAAAGTAAAGGGGAAGTTGTAACAGGAATGCTTTGCTTTGCATCATCAGCTCAAATGCTGTGTTGGGCTGCGGTTCAAATGTCTCACCTGTTTTTGTCACTCAGCTTGTTAATTTCATTTGATTGGACGATAAGTTGTTTTTCCAACTTGGTGGTTGAAAGGGAATTCTCCAGAAGCTGCCGTTCCAGTCTGGTTGTGTGATTAATTACCTACAGAAAATGAAACAATGAGTTCAGTCTGTAATACATATAAATATATTCAAATGGTTAACAATGCTTCCTCCCTTCATAATCATAGTTCTGGCTTCTAATGCAATAGGTTCACAATTTCTGTGGGTTTTTTTTTTCCTTTCTCACATTGATGTCAATGTTGTCTTTGCTGGTCGTTGTTGCCACAGCCGTTGTTTTATAAAGACACAGCCAGTGTGTCTATTATTTTATACACACCATTTATATAAATACTGATAGATGGAAACAATAACAGAAACCCCTCAACACCCCCCTTAGTTCAACACCACCACTAACAAAACTTTATTGTTATTGATATTGTAAGGAAATCAGTGTTTCCTCATAACAAGTTCAGTTCAAACAAACATTTTATATATATATAGATATATATCTAGTGTATATATATAAAGTGTATATACTGTAAGTGAAAGCCATAAAATGTATTTCACTTTCAACCTTTAGTTGTAATTCCAGTCCCGTCTACAAAAGTCTATAAGGTCATGCAAGTTGAGCAGCAGCTTTAGTCCCTGAACAGTTTGTAGAATCCACAGTCATCTGCACAAGCGTGCAAGACGAGCTCTTAATCCCTGCACTGCAGGCATACCTGAAGGGGAAATCTGTAAAAATCGAAAGAAGTGCACAAACAGATGTATTGAACTGAACCGTGGAGGTCTGTGACCTTGTCTCTATTTTCCTATTTTGGAGGAACTGAACTCAGCAAAAAGCAGGTTGTTTACGTAGATGTAAGCTATGTGTCTCCAATGGAGCTGTTGATGTCTTTGAACAGACGGATGTCTGATTGTGACAAACTGATAGACCCCTTTCTGTGGGAATACCAGTGTGCTAATAACAGGAAATGCTGTACAGTTGGCTCACATAAGGTCATTGACGTGTAGCCACAATAATAAACTGACACAGTCATGCCTGTTTCCCTCCCCAGCTATTTTTTTTTTAACACGCTAAACATACATTAATTAATGCAGTGGGCCAGACGGGCACATTGTTAACCACGCTATGTTGTTAAGAAAGCTGCCATGTTTTTGTGGTGACAGGTGCAGACTTTGTTAACGTTCTTGGTCTCGTATTTGCTTCGCGAATGCCCTTTTTTTCCGGACAACAGGAAAAAAGGAAGTCACCTCACCTGTGCTTCGACGTTGGTCAGTTTCCTTGTTTGCTCGGCAGTTTGACTCAGCAGGTTTGTGCCAATTTCAATCATTGTTGCTGTGTGGTTGTGTACAGCTGTCTGCTGGAGCTGGACCATATCCTGCTTCATGCTGTCCTGTATGTAGGTCTGTAGCTGCAACACAGAGGCGGGACAACTGGCTTTTATGATCCATGTTGGAACACAATGGGGTCGTAGTAATAGTTTTGTTGTTTCAATATTTTGCTTCTGGTGTGATGGCCAAAAGCAGAGCTGATTAAAAATATCATACAGCTCAGGATTTTTTGTTTACACAGTCTTCTCAATTTTGCTGCTAGCAGTTGCTTTTTAATTAGTACTGCGACAGCCACATGGCTCTTTGGCAGTGGAATTAGTGTTGTTGAAATTAAGGCAATAATAACATTGATTTATTTGTGAATAAATCAGATTTAAATTTTTTAACACATGTTAACACCTTAGCAGCATTACCAGTACTGCATATTCAGTAATTCCACTATCCATGCACTAACTGTCATTAAACTGTCATTTACACACTGGGAAAATAAGTCTTCGTTAGACAAGCTTATTAAGCTTAAGTAATGACTAAAGCATTAAGTAATGACTAAAGCATTCCAGCAAAATTACTTTTATTTTCTTGATTTTTTTTAATCCTTAGTCACGAATATAAACAGTGTAAAACACAAATTCACCTGTTGTTATTTGTCCTTTTTTGTCATATTACTTAGTGACTTAATTGACTTAGTGTCATTTGGCTTTTCATGATCATCCATTAAAAGGTGTTTCTTTTGAAAATTGTCACCTGTGAGTTGAAAAATAACAACCGTTCCTTGGACCACAGCTCATTTAAAACCACTACGATTACTCAGAAATTTTAAATAGTAATCCTCTTAATCATAAATGATCACAATACCAAGAAATGTGTCAGTGCCTCGGTCCATCATCTTCACGTGGTTTGTTCACATCTACCTTACAGTATTGCCAGATATAGATGGAGACCAATCATTAAGTTATTTCCTGTACGGTTCCTGAGTGGCAATCAGGTCACACGTCCCGTAAACAGGATGGAAGTGTTGAGTGAGGAGTTACATCCTTCATGACAGTGTGACTTGTGTACGAGTGGAACTAACGTCACTATTGTACATATCCCTGTCATCTACAGTAAGTCTGTCTTGTTTACTCCTTGCTTGGAATTTTTGTTTCTGTTTTGTTTTTCCACAGCAGTAATTAGTGTTGATTTTTTGTTTGTCTTCTCCTTTTGTCTGCTCTAACTTTGTTGTTCAGTGGCCTTAGAGGTGTGTGGTAGGTGGAAGTTTTTCATTTTGGCAGGATGTCCCATTGACAGTCTGTGATCTAATCAGTTGTTTACTCTGAGCGCCTCAAAGGCGTCAGTGAGGAATGACTATTTTCCTCATTTACATGAAAGCAAGCTTGTTGCTCTGCTGTCTGAGCCGGTGCTGCGCAAGAAGCCTCTTTTAGTCAAGTCAATTCATTTTAGTGCTTTCAGTGCTAAACTTTCTGGAGTAAAGATCCCACATCGACAGTTATGTTCGATCGCTTTCCTCAGTTACTTGACTTTGATGTTATTTTTCTTCTTCCTGTGGCTGAATCTGGTTGCACGCCTTACCTCTGCTCACCCCACTAAGCAAAGACAGAAAAATTCAGGGCACAGTGTGGGTGGGACTGATGTGATACCAGTAATGATCTGTTCAACAGTAATGACCTGGAAAATTATTTATCAATCTTTCAAGTGCACTTTAAAAATGTTGGTAAATGTCATGATTCACCGATAATAACATAAATCAACCTTTGTATGAAATGTGAGGCAGATTTCTAATAGAATATTCTATCGTTGACTAAATGTTCTAGAGTGATTCACTAAATTGTCCAATATTTACTACACCTTCAATGCTAAGGCATTATAATAATGAAAAAAAAATCAGATACTGATCACTTGTTGTTTGTCTTAATAGATCTTAAAATAAAGAAGCATATTTGTGGTGAAAATTATTCTTCACACCTTAGCTGTGATTTGTCCCTTGTTTCTGACTCCCAAAACTCATTTAAAAGACGCCAGAGCACAAAACAAACTACTGGAGTCTGCCTCGATCCTGACACAAATGAACGATGCTGCCAATGTCGCTAATAAGCGAATATTTGACTTTGAACTTAGAAATCCTAAGTCTGGTCTGCCTTCGTTTTTATTCTGAATAAAATGTAAGGGCCTTGCGTGCATTCATTGCACAGCAGCTGCATCTGAATGGTGGGGAAATGTCGAGCCGCTGCCCTCTGAGCTCTCCTGAAGAACAGGTCTCAGAGCTTGTTTGTGCTACAATATGATAATTGGCAGATCATGCTGTGAGAAGTTCTCACCCTGTCTGGCTTCTTCTGTATGTTTCTGATCCTTTGTCAACCCTTGAAAGTAGATGAAGTGGAAGAAGAAGAAAAAAATCCTTTTTTTGCACAGCTAATGGCTCAGAAAGCTGAAAGGGAAACCAAGCATCCCTTACTTGAACACCTGTGTTAAGGTTTTGTGAGTGAACAGGCCCATTGTGTCCTTTTGTGCTGAATAAGTGTGAATTTGAGACACATCTTTTTCTTTCTTTCTTTTCGTTTCCCTGAGCTTTTTTTTTTTTTTAGCGATCCTTAATAAATACTACAGACCTGAAATGATTAGAACACCTTTTAATTATTGTATCTGTGTTATTTAATACAAATATAAAATAATTCATATTTGCTTTTTTATTCAGGCCATTAAATTCAGAAATTGGTGGAAAATGTATTTTCAAAAAGATATTTTTCCACAAAACAAAAGCATTTTCTAAATGCCACAGAGAGGTTTACAAATATGGTTTGTTCAGTTGATGAATTAAACACATATTTTGCAGATACATTTGCAGATTCCTGCCTTTTGTTTTTTAAAATTAAAACATAATTGAAATTAATATTAAATCAAATTTACAATATTATGTAAATGCTACCTTTAAAGTAAAAAAAAACCCTTAACTGCACTCCAACACTTAAGTGCTTTAGTGGGAGTTCATCCTCCAAACTGTCACCTGTGTCAAGGCTCTTTAAAGCACTGTGTATATAATGAAGACATTCTTTAGTATTACAGTCTCTTCGGTCGTACTAATGTTGTAGATTTCTACTGTACCTTGAGCAGCCACTGTGTGTTGTTCTCCATAATGATCTCCAGTTGTTCCAACCTCTGCGTTGACTCATCCTGGTCCACGGGTCCATCTCTCTGTACGGGGTAGTTGTAGCCGCTGCTCTGACTTTGGCAGTTGTCCTGCTCAGGCAGCAGGAAGGTGTAGCTGCACGGACCATTCTGGATCTGGTACTGCATCTTAGCACCTGAACTGTGTCCAGTCCACAGGGCAAGAGAGAAAGCTAAAACTAAAAGTTCTACTTTCACCATCCTCATTTAGAAATGTATAAATCAAATTAAATAAAAAAAGAAAAGTATTTTCAAATTGTGTCTCCTTAGGTTTCCAAGTTAGTCTAAAAGTCCCCTCAGAGATTGAGCATCCTCTCCCAGCAGCATCCAGGAACAGTGCTCTTAATGTTGTGCAGAGGTGTTGTGTTGTCTCCCTGTTGTAGCAGGAATAAGAGCCATCAGGAATCAGAGGTAGTGTTTTATTCTCATGGGTTAGTGTGTCAGACTGCATGTGCTCGCCTTTCATCAGGCCACTTGTTTGAGCTGCCCATGGCCTCTCTGATTAGCTAACTGGGCTTTTTGAGCCACTCCCCCCCCGACTGTGGCCAGCCACTGTGAAGAACGGTGCAGTGGAGATTCCTTTCAGAGCAGATGTACGCACTACACATCTTTCACTACATCCTCTACTACAGCCTCTCAGGATGCAGCTGTCCTCTGTCAGGACACTCCGATAGTAGCCGTGTCATCCCATTCATTAAAGAGCGTTTCCCAGCCCACGACAAATACTCGAGAATCTTTTCAATGGGACATTTGAGTGGGAAAAACCCTTTGTTTAAAGGAAGTTTGTTACTTTTTTTATTCATATTTTTACTTCACTCTATTCAATTAATTTTACTCTTGTACCAAAATCATCTTTCAATTTTTTTAGTGTTGGGAAAAGTCTAGTATTTCTTTTAAAATTATTTCCTTAACGTAAGACTTATTATTGATATTACATAACAGCATAATTTCATGTTTAACGATTTTGATTAATTTCTGTGTATACATGTTAATAAGTTACAATTATTTGTGGATTAATCTCTTAATTTATAAGACTAGAAATGTTAATCCCACCAAGATTTTTGCACAGGATTACAATTTAAATCGCTATTCAGTATGTGCATACAATTTTATTTATTTATTTTTTGGATCTCAAAGCAAGGTTTAAGATCCTTTACCTCAATTTTCCTGTCATCTCTAAATGTTTTGCTGTCATTTAAATCTGTCAGTGGAAGCTCCTGTCACAGTCAGGAACAACGTGGAGGTGTGTGGAGCAGGAAGGGCAATAATATCGGAAGATGGTTGGTTTTTTTTTCTGCTCAGCCAGAATGTGCCTCCCTGACGGACCCTTGAGCCCCTGCTTCAGCAGATTCACTTTTTAAACTTTGGCCCCGTCTGCAGTGGAGGGAGATTTATATTCTGTACCAATTGTCATTTTTACTTGACATAACCACATTTGTCAACGGAACTGTTGTTTGTTTTTTTGACAGGAAAGCTGTAGAATTGCAGTGAGATAGAAATACCAAAACAGAATTGCAGGAAGTCGGCTGATGTAATAGTTACTGTATGCAGGAAATGCAACATATTTAAGGAACATTACCAAAGAAGAGGAACTTGTCGTCATTCTGGATGTGTTCGCACCAACTCCTAGATGTCAAATATTTTTATGGTTATTTAAAAAAAGAACAATGCTGGCCAGACCCATTCATCCATTTGGTTTTCCACCACAACCTACGTAAACCGCACACTTGTCTGCTTTTGCCTTAAGCAAACAATGTGCCTGCTGCTGAAATGTCAGTGCATGCTGTATTTCATTATACACGGCTGCTGGACTTTATTTATTCCCGTCTGGGTCTCGGTGGTGGATTTGAATGACCTGTCTGCCTCGCTGCATGCAACATGGAGGGCATACATGCACTTAGAGGCTGTAGAGTTATTGATTATGTTGATGGAATAATTTGTAGGATTTCCCCTGTGAGGGATTCATTAAACTCTTGCTGGCACAGTAGAATGCACTTCAATCAGGCTGCGTGGTTCTGAGAGACAGTTTCTCCAGAGACAGCATTTCACCCCAGACGTCTCTAGCAGCAATTCATTCAAAGTGGATATTATATATGACAGCATTTAATTTTATTTGTTCTGTTTTCATTACAGTCATATGCAGATAGATGTGGGTGGTAATGAATGTGTCTATCATGTTCCTGTGGGAAAATGAACTCAGTGCCGGGGCCTGGTGAACACGCACGTTGAGGAATAATAATTCCTGCAGGATGATTTACTCTGGAATCACAAATGCATAAGAAGATGTAAATTATATTCACAAATCAAACTATTTTCACGGCTCTAATGGTCTTTAGAGTGTGTCAGATTATTGGAGTGATATTTAAATTAGAATGATAAATAGGTTGAAACACACATTGCAGGAGACACATTTACTGGATTCCAAATTATAAATGTAGAATAAATTATTATATGTTGATTATTTTTTAACTTGAATAGTTTTCTTCTACCTCTTGTGTCAGAATGACCTCTTTTCTGCCTGTGGTTTTTAATGATTATTTCCCTAAAGGCACAGTGTGGTCTAATGTTAACCCGACCCTGTCTGTGAACCCTTTGAAGAAGCATTGATTACTGTTGTAAAGACAAACCTGCGTAAACATTAACAAGAGACCAAGAACCCTCAAATTAGGAGTGATGGTCCATTTGACCCCTGATGATTTTAACATATTTGTTAAAGAATGCAGCGACCTTGGTGAAGTAAAAAGTAGTGAAAAAAAAAGCAAACTCGCATCCATTCAGAAAATGGTTTCGCTTAGTTTAAATAAGTTCAAAGAAAATCACCTTAAATGGAAATTTCCGTGAATGCTCTGTAGTAAAGTGGTAACTTTTTCACATTGGGCTGCTGCCAATGTCAAACAGCGAGCCCATGTTGAGAGGGTCACACGGTGCTTCAGAAATTGTTATGTTGTGAATTTCTTTCAATATAAGACTATTGTGAGTAGTTTTGGAAGGCCTTGCCTGACTGTATTATGTCATATACTGTGAAAACCTGGCAGGTCAACAGGTGTTTTGAACAAGTAAAAGTTTAAATGCCATTAATCATAGGGTAGCTGTGGATGAGTCACTGTGAATCTTATTTAAATATTTTTTTAAATATTACATTATTGTGGACTTTTATATGTATTTAGTGCACCCCCTGCAGGAGAGGAGAGGGGATACATGTTTTGTTTTACCATCATTTATGTACTTTTCATAATTTACTAAGAAAAAAAAAAGAAAACATTCTATTACCATAGCAACAAATTGTGTTTTAATGCTGTAATATAGTGAACATTAAGATTTATTTTCGTTCATCACTGTTAAATAACCTCATCTTTTTTTGCACCCATCGCAGCCATCTTCAGGCCATTTTTAGTATTGGACTGAATTCCTGCCACAGTTGCTGAGATTCTTAATTTTACATATTTTGAGAGTCAGTTGGTAAATATAACCAGATGAAGGCAAAAAAGTGAAAGATGTGCCCATTTTGCCAGGATATGTATCACCAGTCACATATACAGTATATTACTTTTATAACTTTTTAATTTTTTGACACAATTTCAATTATCCAACCATCAATACTTATTCAGTTCCATTACAAATGAATCCACACAAACGTCATTATTTGTACTGGGAGCAGGTTTGAGTTTTGTCAGTCCCCTTTCTCTTCTCTCGCCTTTGTTGCACAGCCGGACGTTGCTGTTTCATTTCGTGCTGTTATTATGAGTTTGTGTTTTAATCACACTGTGCAGGTTGACATGTCACACTAGGAAAATGTCTAAGGTGAATAATTAAATGAACAAGGTCAGATTCTAATTTGCTGCTTCATTTCATATCTCCTGGTTTTACTGCACTGGCCTTCTGTCTCTCACTTCCATCAGTCTGAGTACAAACAAGATAAAAACAGAGTCGTTGGTTATTCTATTTTAACGTCATTTTTCACCTGAATAAGACTGTTACTTCTGTTTTTACTTTGTTGATTTCTAAAATATCCTAATTTTGTCTAGTTTTTGATGTGGACTGCATCACTTGCCATACTGGTAACTATTTTATCCCTACTTTAAAGTGCTTAAAGTTTGAATAGAACATTTGACAACACAAATAGTGGTTAAAAAACACCAAACATTTTCTTGCCTTATGATTGGAAAGAATTCACTACCATTAAAGTATTTTGCTTACAATTAACATTTTACAAAACCTGGATTTAAATGTTTTTTTAATCCAGTTTCATATAATTCAAAACTAAAACACTTTGGAGGTGGATGGTGAATCTTTTTGAATGCTTGACTTTGTTTTTAACCCATGATTAATGCATGATTTACATATTTATTTAAAATTCTTATCCCTGGAGGGTTAATGGATTCATTCTATTTAGTTTTCCAATTTAGTTCTGTTGATAGAGGAGTGAATTAATTAATTATTTAATTAATAGAACAGAGAATGTTGAAGGTGAAAGAGCGGCCGGGCATTATGCTGTACAGTATAATGGCATTTGACAAAGGTCAAAAGACAAACATTGTCATGAAGACACCGTCAGTTATTGATGCAGCTATTGTACAACTGATCACAGCAGCAGAGAAAAAACACCTTATCCTCTGACAGGAAGAACATCTGACAGGGAACTCAAAGTACTTTAGCTCTGTGTCGGGAAACTGCAGGAAAAAAATGTGTTGTTTGAAATACAGCGACGTTAGCTAGCTAATAGCACTTTAGATAATTGCAGCAACTAAAGGAGTATCTTTTGTTGTATCTATTGTAATATGTTCCACAAAATAAGTGATAATAGAGTGAATAATCCCAGGCATGTACAGTAACTTTGAGTGTGCGCTCTCAGATCTGTCGTCTTCAGAGGCACCTGTCTGCGGGCGAGCACCAGCAGGATCTCTTCCATGATCAGCCAGCCATGTTTGTGTGTCAGCACTCCAAGCCACCCGTGCACAGCCTTGTGGAGCTGATAGAGCTGTGTGGGGGAACCGTCTGTAAAACTCTGAGACAGGCAGGGCTCTGCATAGGAAAGTACAACGGCAGGAGACCAGAGGGAACCAGGATGCTGTCTGAGCAGTGGGTGCTCGGTAAGACACGTGCTGCTGAAATAATCTGTAGTTAACATTTAATATTTCCAACGTGTCAGTATTGACTATTTTTCTTCTCTGTTTTTTTTCCAGATAGCATTACTCATCTCAAGCAGTTGCCGTATGACAGCTATTATATTTAAAGTAAGGCTGATGGTATTGATAATGCTGTGAAATCTATGATTTTCTCTATTAATGTGACAGCAAGTTTATTTTATTTTGATAATGGCGTGTGTCAAGAGTTTTTTTTCGGTGAAAAACATAACCTGAAGTGCAGAACTTTATTTTTCTATAAATTAACCAAGATGTGTTTGAAATAAAACAATGTGATTTAAAAATATGTTATGAATACAGACCTTTGTAGAAATATTCAGTGACGTCATAAATAATAATTTAAAAAATGGTTTATTTTGTATTTTGATTTACAATAACATTATTAAATGTGTGTGCCACTGTGATGTAAACATCACTGTTGATTGCAATATACATCCTGGGCAGTTCCATTTACACTCAAATTCATACTAATGGTTAGTTGAGAGTGTAAAATCAACCGAATCCTACACATTTTTGGACTGTGAAGAGGAGCGAGAGTAACCAGAGGAAACAAAGACGCTCACACTCAGGGAGAGATCATTCAAATAAAATACATAAAACCCTGGGATAGAACAGGAAAAGCTGTGATCTACTGTAAAGCATGAGGGCAAAATTCTTCCACTACCTCACTTGAATAACAGCGATCATTTCTGTGTTCATTTGTTTTGTCTGATGCCCTGTATCTATTGTAAACATGACTAAATTATAAGACCAGCTTATTTTCCATCAAATTAACATATTCTGAATTAATTTCAACACTGAGGCATTGTTGTATTGCAGCATTATGTTTCAGAAAAGTAACTATGTACAAATATTGTATTTTGCCTTTATACTAAATCTGAAAGCATGCATAAAGATTGGGATAACATATTGCATATGGATTTGCTGTGATAGTTAAAAGCATTTTAAATATGCATTATACTGAAAATTGTTTTCTTGGCATGCAGTGGTCTTGTCATTGATTTTCTTTCCCCATGGCCTTAATCAAATCTCCTTGTAGAAATAGCATGAAGCTGGCTGTGTGTTCATTTTTAATCCTGGTTACTATCAATAAAAATTTAAAACATATTTACCTCTGCCGTTTCCAGGTTAGCCACCTTTGTTATTGACTGTTTCACTGTCTTCACACCATACATCACAGCAAATCTAAATGTACCATAATATATAGATGTACATACATATAGTATTCGTGTCTCACTATATAATAAAAAACATTTATAAGTGTACCGGAAATATTACAATGCTGAGAAAGAACAATTGGTTTTCCCCTGGATATGTATAATAATAGATACTATTAATTGTCGTATGTCTTTAATGTGAGAAAGCCCATTGGCCTGCCTCTAACTGCTGTCGACCAATCAGCTCTGTCGATGTTGCAAGGCATGACGACGTAATCAAGGAGGCGTGCGTGACATTTGCAGTAAGAAGCTAGTTTTTTAAGACCTGCTAATTCTAGAGAGGTAGAAAAACAAAACAAAAACAGATTTATAATTTATTGTGTGGCAGTGAGTTAACATACGTTTGAGTTTTTCAAATGTTCATTGTCCTGCACCTTAAAAGGGACAGCTTATGTCACCGCGGTGTCAGTTCAAACTTCTCCGCTGGAGCACGTTGAGTACAGTGAGCTAACGCGGTCCTGTAAGTTGTTCAGTAGATGTGCGGAGTTCAGGTTGAGGTCGTTATCTGGTTTGCTGCTGTGAGATGACAGTTCCAACCGCTACAAAGAGCTCACTTTTGACTTTAAACCCTCACAGTATGACTGAACGTTAGCGTCGGAGCAGACTTGGACTAAATGCTTTTCCTACACAAGGTTAAAATTAGCTTTAGCCAGCTAGCCCTTTAGTTCCCCTTTCTCTTATGCTGACTTGTTGGGACAGGTGTGTAGAAAGTAGGCCGGGTGTGGCTTCGAGGAGAAAGTGTGCAGCCTAGAGTCCAGCACTGAAGACTGTGAAGGATTGTCGGGAATTGAAGTGGAGCCAGAGTCGGAATCATGCTGCTCTCCTTGGTTGTGCACACATACTCGCTGCGGTACTGGTTTCCAGCCACCATCATGCTGGGAACAGCCCCGGCGTATCTGCTGTCCTGGGGGGTTTGGCGTCTACTTTCTTCTGTCATTCCGGCGAGGATGTACCACAGGCTGGACGACCGACTGTACTCGGTCTACCAGAGCATGGTTCTCTACTTCTTTGAGAACTACACGGGGGTGGAGGTGAGGGATCTGATCAACTACTAACTGTAATATCAAATACATTTCCTTTTGCTATTTAAACGATAAAAAATACAATCGTTTGCATTAGGTGATATATTTGTGTGTCTGCACTGACTCTGAAACAATTAGTCGACTAGTTGATGCATCACCAACAGATGCAGTACATACTGTTGTTGTACGCTGTACATAGTGGACTAAACAATTTGTGTAAGAATTGTTTTTAAAAAGGTCCATAATTCGAGCTGTGGAATATTATAAGTATATTCTTATTTACAGGAAAACAGTGAAGGCTTCCAGACCAAACCATACAAATTAGGATGTTGCTAATCTTTCAAAAATGAAAACAGATTTTACACCATTACTCGAGTAGAACTTTCAATTTTCTGTGGGACCTCAGCACATTTTCTTTTAGTTTGTGCCATCCTTTTTTCTATAACTTAAATCTCAACATACACAGTAAGATAGTGGATATAAACATCTGCATTGTGCACTGAGGTGTTTGTCATACAATGACAGACAATGTAAACAGGGCTATGAGTCCACAGCTGATAAACCTGAAGTACATGAAAAACTTGTAGATTCTTGTACAACTTTTTTCTGCCGCTCCTTGTGCACCTAGGAGTGATTGTACAGGAGTTGTTGCAGCCGAAATGTCTTATGAGATTTGTTGGCGAGGTAAACCAACTGCTGTGTCTCACCCACTGGAAAATTCATAGGCAGATTAAAAACAAATCCTTTTTAGTTTATTGCAAAACAATTTCTGCAGGTTTATCAGATCAGCTTAAAAAATAAAAAACAATTCTTGTTTGCAGCTGTGCAGGAAACACATCTGCCTCTGTAAGACAAATCATTTTCATTATCTTTCAGCATCATCAACTTGTTTTTGTTCCTGTCTCTACAGATAGTTATATATGGAGATATACCAAAGAACAAAGAGAATGTGATCTACCTGTCAAACCACCAGTGTACAGGTATTGAAGTTAAATAATTAGCTTATATATTTAAAAAAAAACAACTCCTGCAATGCTAATGACCTGGTATATATATATTTCTTTTTTCAGTGGACTGGATTATTGCTGACATGCTGGCCATCAGACAGAGTGCTATTGGACACGTCAGATATGTCCTTAAAGATGGACTGAAGTGGCTTCCTCTTTATGGCTGGTATTTCTCTCAGGTAATTAATTAAACTGCCTGGTTATCCAACTGTGATTTTTGGGTAAAAACAAGTATGGAGAGCTGAAGCGTTGACAGCACTGTCCATATCTTTCAGCATGGAGGAATCTATGTGAGACGAAGTGCAAAATTTAATGAGAGGACAATGAAGAGGAAGCTCCTCTCTCAGACTCAGTCTGGTGCGCAAGTAAGTGTTGCATGGAATAAATGTCCTTGAACACAATTTGATATGAATTTATTAGAAACAGAATCTTTCTTTTTTTTTTCTACAACTCATTGCTGTTTTATAGTTTGTCCTGTAACATGACGACAGCATCTAGAACCTGAGACTTCAAATATAAAATGAGAATTTCATCACACACTATAGAGGTTTGCAGCTGGGTGGAAAAAGCTTATTTTAATCATGTTTTTATGTAACTGCTAGAGATTAGGGATTATCTTTACAGACTGAAAAAGAAAAGGAAATGGCCAGCTGGTTAGAGTACTTAAGTTTCTTTTCCTGTGTTGCATAGTGTTTAATTCTGTTAGAAGTTTTGGCAGTAAAGTGAAAAATATTTTATTAATTTATTTTTTTTCCTCCTCACAGATGTACCTTGTCATTTTCCCAGAAGGGACCCGTTATAATCCAGACCTGAAGAATGTTATTGCTGACAGTCAGGCTTTTGCTTCAAAAGAAGGTACGGTACAATGTCAGACAGTCCCTGCTTTACAGCTGCAAACTAATTCAACATAAACGACTCGCACGCTCTGACAGCCAAGGCCACATCCACAGGAGTTGTTTTTAAAAAATGTACACTACATTACGTTTGAACATTCTTCATCCATGCCAGTGATTTGGCTCCATATTGGCTTTAATCCCCATCCATAATGATTTGCCTTAAAACAAAGTCACAGGACCACTTGGAGGTCTGTGTGGGGGCTGATAATGGAATTATGGCTTATCGTTTGAAAAACGGGTCATGTGACAGGAAGGCGTGATGTACAAATTGGAACGTATATGTGCACAACTGCTACACTGTCTATCGTTTTTAACTGTTTATACAATAATGTAGTCACTTAGATTCAAATGGGAAACATCAGGTTCTATTTTAGAGCTGGAAAAGACCAGGCTAACTTAGGCAGCTCGTCCACATGACCCATGAGTCCTATGTACGGCATTATTGATTCTAAAGCTTTAATATTAATCTTTCTTTTCTTCAGTTTGAAGTTATATCTTTATAATTTAATTAGGCTGACTTAACAAAAGTGTCAAGTATTCACTACAACCTAAAGTTGCACAGGAAAATAAGACAGAAAAAGTGTTGAAAAATGTAATCTTTGCAGCAACAGACAGACCAACTCCTATCAGTTGGGTTTCACAGAAGCTCTAGTTATTGAAGGGAGGAGTGCGTTAGTCTCCTGACAAGTTGGTAGAAACCTGACTGTTACACTTTGCTGCTTTGGTCCACTCGCTGCTCACTTTCACTTCCTCAGTCAGAAACTCCACTTCAAGAGACCAGATGTAGAACCATTTATGTTAAAGTAATATATTTTATTTTAAATGGTTTTGACCCCAAAGTGGAATCTTCAACATGTTGCTTAAATTATATTTTATGCCTTTATGAATGAAATGCATGTTTGAAAATTGCACTACACCATCAACATTGAAACATTAACCTTACAGTTCTGTGAAAAACTTTTAGGCGGTAATATAGTACATTGATTTAAAACCATTTTCCTCTTGGAAAATATAAAAAAAACACCAACAAAACTCAGCTGCAAACTTTTATATATAATTGTTCTTTAACATGTTGTGTTGTACCTAAGTATTGAGTAAGTCAGTATTACAGAGACTCTCTTCCCAAGGTTATATCTGGGCCACGTCCACTCAGTAGGACTGCAAAATATCTGGTTATTTATATTAATATGACAACGAAAATGTTAAAACTCTGCTTAAAAAAATAAATATAACCAAAGTCATGAGTAAGTGCTCTGAATTCATCTCTGTGTCCTTTATTGTCCACTGATGGACCTCTGCCCTCACAATGTATTGGTTTTAACGTTGCCCTCAATAAAATGCACATTTAATTTTAATAGCGAGTCGATAATCTTGTCTTGTCTCCAAGTCCGGCCTCAGCTCTCGTCTCTGGAATAATGAAATAAAATCGTTGCAGCATTGATCTCTCGGTCGAACCGTATGATGTGAAGAGCTCATTAAATATTAAAGCTTTTCAGTGGGCACTTTGTCCTGTAGTTTTGAAAACAGTTTAAATGGCTGTGTGGTGAGTTTCAAGCCCCTCGCAGGGGGTCATCATGGGTAATTTGAAATACAGTAGAAATGATGCAAGCATGATTTTATCTTTTTAAACAATTTTATATAGTTTTTTTTAACATTATTTTTGCAAAGGTTAGCCAACATGCTCAGAAGTAGAAAAAAAATCTAGACTTCCTGCCCCTTCTCCTAATCTACTGTATATTATATGTTTACCCCCTGCCCTAAATAATTAATGCATACAGTAATAGTACTACAAAAATAACATAATAAACAACATCATAAACACAAGTCATTGAGAAAACAACTTTTACAAATGAGCCAAAAATCAAACGGCGATAAAGAACCAATTTTAAATACACGCATTTGGAAATATAAAAATGATACTCAACAGTACAAAAATGTGCCACTGTGATACCAGATTTGTGAGAGAGTGATGTTTGTGTTGCAGACTGTGGTGTCCTGCTCTACCCACATTGTTTCTACAGCGCAGAGATTAGGCCTATCTGTGCACCGCAGCTCAGAGTATCACCTTCCCCCATTAATCCAACTAAATCTCTGCTGAGAGGCGACATGTGCACATGACATGATCTCTGCTGCTGTTGAGCTATTAGTGTGCAGCACAGTGCAGAGCGCTGCAGAAACAGACCCAAACTCAATTACTCTTCATATATAGTCTGTCAGTGTAACATACTGTGTATTATATATATATATATATATAACTACACTTACCCATTCTTCTGTCCACACTAGGACTAGCTGTGCTGAAGCACACCCTTACACCCAGGATGAAGGCATCTCATATAGCCATTGAGACGATGAAGGACCATCTAGACGCTGTGTATGACGTCACAGTGGCCTACGAGGGCACGCTGAATGCCTCAGGTCACAGAAGTCCTGCACCATCGATGCCAGGTAAGCAGGCACACGGGGGGGGGGGGGGGGGGGGGGGGGGGGCGCGGGAGGAGGACGGGCGGGAAGGTAATGTTACATAGGAAGCATAGCTATGGTGACATGCAGTGTGTAGGTGTGAGCTCAGCCCAAACCACAGTGAGAACACCAAGCAGGGAAATGGTATCTGTGTCAGTATGGGTTTCAGTTCCAATAAGAAAATATTGAAAAAGTTCAGATCATTGTTCATGACATGGGTGAAAAAGTTCAGATCATTGTTCATGACTAAAAGTCATGTCCAAACAGTATGTGAGTCTTTACATATGCGTCTTTACCCATTTCAAACTTGTCAAAGACACAGAGGTCTCTCTTATTTTCGTTTTTCGTTTCGAAGACCAACAGGTCACTGACATGTATTTGTATGTCGTAGATGCATTTTTGAACCAACATAACATAATAATCATGCATTGTGTCAGTTGGGATAAATTTGGAATATAAACACGGCTGCAGTAACAGACTGTCAACAGCTGCCTGTAATTGTTGTTATTCAGTTCATCCAGAGTCTCACAGGCTCTGTACTATCAAAGCAACATCACCGTGTTTGGCCCTGTGTAATTAATCACATCACAAACAGCAGCGTCTTCCTGTAAACAGAATGACTCCCCGCTGTGGACTTTTGATTATTTCATGTTACCGGTTGTTCACCAAACACTGTTTCAATGTTTTTAAGAAAACTTCCCGCTTCAGGCAGGAATAAACACTGATGTGTTTTGTAGTGAGAAGTACACGGAGGTGAAAAGCTTTCTTCTCATTTCGCACTTTCATCTTTGGGGTTGACTGGGATTTTTGTCACTCCGCAAGGAACAAACCAAGGCTTTTAGAGGGAAACTCAGTGATGCTCTTCTGGTAATTGAACCTCAATGGGAACGTGAAATGTTCTGGGTTATTCCACAGCCAGAGAGCTTTAATGCTTTAAAACCCTAAAGTGATTGAGCTCCACAACCAATTATTTAGTCTGAGCCTTTTTCCAAAGGAAGACAGGAGGTGGCAGGGTTTCATGTCGACTACTGGGAATATTAAATCATTGTCTCCCAGAGCGCCATGTCTATTAAGAGTGATGCAAGTCTTTTCTTTTCTGTTGCTTTTTCTTACCAAGTCTTTTAAAAACAAAAGCCTTGTTTTATTTTAATTTTTTTTGAGTATTGCTCACTTCTCTAATCCCTGAAAGTGTGACTCAAGCCCACCACTTAATGCAAAGCAGTTCTGTTTACAAACTCAGTCTTTATTTCAGAAATAATTTATTTAGTCTACATGATGGAGTGCATCTTTGAGTGACTTATAATTCCTGATGACAAAATGGCAAGTAATGAAGACTAAGGACAGAAAAATCCTCTGCCTGAAGTATTTTTCAGCGTTTCCTCTGTATATACAGGTGTTTCCAGGGTTAAAGATACCACTGCTCCTAAAAATATTTTTTGTTTTCTAGATTGTTTTTCAAAATCTCTAGGAACTGTTTATCATTTGCCACCATAGAGAGAGTTTCCCTTATCCATTATCCAGAGTGTTGTTTTTTTAAGTGTTTGGAACCTGGTCCCTGCTCAAACCTACATGACCTGAAGTGGACGCTCAGTTTTTGTTTCTCTGGGCTGCCTGTGTTTGTCAGAGTGCCACATATAATGTCAGAAGGTCAGGTCCAAACCCGCAACAGCTGATGGAGGTTTACTCTCCACCGGCGAGGCAGTCTTTCGCTGCCGACTTCGATCAAGTTTCCTCTTTTGTCCGCCGAGCGAGGTTTCCTGATAAGGCTGAATGTTGTGGAAACAGGAACTTGGAAGTCTCTGGGGAAACGTTTGTAACCTTGAGTGTTCAGATTGGGTTAAATTTTTTGTACATCTGACATTTTGACACTTTGGCGTTTCGTCTGTACTCAGTTGTTTTTTCATTCAGGACTGTTTTGGCTTTTCTCTTATTTGATAGTGTTTTATTTCCGCCCTATGTTACTTCAGGAACTCAGCGCTGTAGATGCTTTACTTTATGAATGTCACCTCACATTGGGTTTAAGTGCTCTCTCTATGTGTTTCATTGCTGAAGGGCTCTTCCTGTTTTTGTTTAGTGTATTTATTTTCTGTGTTTGACAGAATTCCTGTGTAAAGAATGTCCCCGAGTCCACATACACTTCGACCGTGTGGACATAAAGGAAATTCCTTCAGAGCCAGTGTTTTTCCGCAGGTGGCTGCACGAGCGGTTTGAAATCAAGGACCGGTAAGTGTGCGAGGGTGGAAACGATCACCTTAAAATTGCATTTAATCAATGAGTAAAGCAGGTTAAGTGTTTTCATGTCAGACACAAACTAAAATAATGCAGGCTTTTGGATCATTGATTTTACAATAATACAGCTTTTTTGTTTTTGTGTGTGTTACTCTATGTTTCTTATTTCTTTCTATGACAAATAATTATATCCTTTTTTGAAGGCTCCTGACAGAGTTCTACGAGTCAAAAGATTCCAATTCAAAAGATGCTAACAAAATCTGCAAGTTCCCCGGAAAAGGTACACCATCACCGCTCAACCTCTCAAAAACACTGCCCTCAGCCATGATTTTAGGAGGACTGACGCTGCCATTACTGCTGACAGAGAACGGCAGGAAACTGTATGTGAGAACCTGGGTTTATGGGACGCTGCTGGGCTGGCTGTGGGTCAATGTGTTTCCTTAACATATGGAGGGACTGGGGCTGCAGCAAGCAGACATGCAAAAGTCAGGGAGAGACTTGTGCCATTTTTATTCTAGAAACAAACCCACACATGGTGTGCTCCAGATGCACAGCTGCATCTGGGAAGAGGCTTAGAAATGTATCCCACACCTGTGGCTTAATACTGACCTCCGACTGGAAGCTGAAAGAAAAATCAGACAAATGTAGGAAATAAATTGAGTTAAATGTGTGCTAGATTTTCCATGGCATTTTAAAACACAGGTGGCTTTGTTGAGAAGTTTAAAGTTATTCAGCCCCTCACCCCGGTCTTTGGGCTCTGATATAAAGTATAAAATGTTATATTTCCTCTCCATAAGATTTAGCTAAATTAGTATTCTTGCATGCTTACTAAAGCTCTTACATGACCTTTATTTTGACATCAGAGTGTTCTGGGAACTCGTGAAATGATCAGTCAGCTGCTGTGAGTGGCTGACAGTGCACACCGGTCAATTGAACCCGGCTCATTACTCCTGTAGTGCACTGACTTACTGACATTGGTGGTAATGTCTGTTTTTATGCCAAGTCCTACATCAGGAATTTTATGCACTTTGCTTATTTTAAGTGATGTTTTATAATATTAGTAGAACAAAATAATACCTATTTGGACTCTTTAACCTGCGGACTATAACGTTAAGGACGTTATTGAGAAATTAAGTTCTGCACGGAAATGTTTCTGGCCAACTATTACCACATTGTAAAATTATTTATTGTTTTGCTGTTCCCAGGCAAGCGCAATAGTCTTTCACAGTAAATGAAAAGAAAACAAGTATGGAAAATAAGCCCATTTATGATTTAAGAGAATTAAAGTTTATCTTTTTTGAGGGGTGGGTGGGGGGGGGGTTGTCATCAGTGGTTTAAAAAGTGGCATTTTCAAGGTTTCAATATGGGTGAGGTGAAAATTATGTTATATTGGGAAATCTTTTGTCACATAAATTAGTTTGTACTTGAGTTTGATTTAAAATAAAAGTGACATGCCAAGACATTTTCTGAAGCAGATGAGAGTAGCAAGTATAAATGTTCTACCAATGTAAAGCATCACTTAAGTGTTGCCAAAATATGGTGTATTTCTTTTCTTTTTGCCTAATTCCGTTGTTAATAAATGTTCAAAGTTATTGTTTATTCTGTAACTTTTATATGCATTTGTTCTTTTAAATACAGCGTTACAGCTCACATAAATGTATCTACCTAGCAAAAAGCTGACAAAGCCATGTTGACAGTATAACACAGGTTCCTGTGCACTCAAAGCCATTTGTATTATAATCATCACTGTATTATAAAATGCACTGTGTCTATTGTTGTTGTTTACCATCCGAAAACCATTTCCACCTTCCACCAGTCACTTTAAATACTTGCTATAATGTCATCTTCCTCTAGAATAAGTCTGTAGTATGTTTTTCCTCATATGGATGGTGCAGTACTTCTCATGGGTTTTACATGTTTGCTCCAATACCTCACTTGAATAATCTTTCCTTTTTCTTAAGAAGACCCTTGTCAGCTGTTTTATAGTTATTTTTAACCTGACAAGATCTGAATACAAGTCATCAGGAAACTCTAGACAGTATTTCAATGCCAACAGTTTTTTGGAAATGTGTGCCTTGGCTTTGGAGGCGTAGGTCCTCAGCCCGCCCACAGTGGCTCTTCACCAAGCAGGTGACTCCATGGAGGCTCTCTGCTGCGCTCTGCAGCCTGTGGTCACATTGTCTACAGTTCACAGTGACTTATTTTGCTCTAAGAATGCATTTACACTTTTCGAAGACTATTGTATAACAATAAAACCTTTAATGTGTGTAAGTTCTAAAAAAGAAAAAAATGGGGTCAGAGTGAAATAAAATAATTTTGTTTGGGAAGTGATGTATGGTGTTTTTTATACAGTATAAAATGCACAACGAAGACTATCCATCTACCTACTAACAGTGGAGGTAAAAATAAAACATTGTCTCGGGGAAATTTGAAAAAGTATAGTGTATTTTATAATTTTTTTTAACATTTTTGTTTTAGTTGAGATCTAGTTTGCATCAAAAGTACAATGTGCAAACCTCAAATAGTGAATATGGAATTTCTGGGGTCTCAAAGGTGTTGTAGCACATTTATTTCTGTATGTTTTATAATCTGTTTCTGTATGCATTTTTTTTCCCTAATTCGTACAAATGTTGGTTTCTTTCCAAAGTTCTAGTTAAATAGATGACATATAGTTAACATGTACACGGTACATGTACACGGTACAATGAACCATAAAATGGTTAAAGTACAAATTTCACACCGATTTTGTGGGTCGTTGAACGCAGCGCCATAGTACCGCACTTGCGCAGTAGTGTCTTGTGGGCGGTAAGCAGGAAGCTCAGTGAGCGAATGAAGGTAACGACGGTTAGTGCTGCTCTTATTTGGCGTTTAACGGTCTTTAAATGGTCACTGATAAGGTTCTAACAGTATCGAGTAATCATTTTTCGTAAATAGTTTCAGTTGACGTATTATGTTTAACATTTGTGACATGAAACTGATTTGTTTGAAGCCTTGCAGTTGTTGTTTACGTTTCCCTTCACTCATAGCGGCACCCACGGGCGGTTTAAGCTTACTGCAGTTAGGTGGAACAAGTTAACTTGACGAAGTCTCCTCGTTGTACGCGACAGAAATTGTGAAATATAATTAATCGAAAGATTTTGCCTGTGAACACCCATAAGTGGACCGGAAATGCACTATTGGTTTCGGTAGTAGAACGCCATTAGCAAAAGAAAATTAATACACCGTACACTATTATTAAATCGTTTTTACATCGGTCACCTACGTTGTGTTAATAGCATGTACGTTAAATGTAACCCTCATGAAATCTATGTATATTTCAACAGATAAAAGCTGAAATTTTGACGCTGTGCCCTATATTCACGTAAATCGACGCAGAGTTATGGCATTGGACTGGATTGGATTCACTTATGCAGCAGCCATCGCCCTTGGGGGGTTTATGGGTTACAAAAGAAAAGGTTAATATTCTTTCACGATCTCACATTTTCCTTATATTGTCCAAAAGGTGAACAAACGTAAAATGAACGTGTCTTGTGGACTGCAGGTAGTGTAATGTCCCTTGTGGCTGGTCTCGTTTTTGGAGGATTATCAGCATATGGGGCCTTCAACATTTCCAATGACCCTAAGAACATTAAGGTCTCCCTGTGTAAGTGTGTACAAAACTACATATTTGTTGATTTGTCGCAAGAGAACTCGTATACACATGTTAATATATGGTTTTGTGGTTTTAGTTTCCGCTGGACTTCTTGCTTTAGTGATGGGAACAAGATACAAGAATTCTGGAAAGTTCCTGCCTGCTGGCCTAATGTCTGGGCTAAGGTCAGAGTCACGGTTGCTCAACATGCAGATATTCTATTGAGCAACACGTAGATTATGAAAGGATTAGAGATGTCGCTCTGCCCTTGTGCAGTCTGTGATTAATGTTGTTCTTCTGTTTTTAGTTTGTTGATGGTTTTTCGACTCTTGCTCCTGATCATGGTGTGACTGCAGGAACCAAAGAGACCAAACTGAAAAGCCAACTGTGCATCAATGAACAAGCACATCATTCCCACCAACACACCAACAACGTGTTCTTATTGTGAATTAAGATACACCTCGGGTTGTCTTTACTTTTGGATTATCCTTTTGAAAAAGCTGGTTTTATGTATTCCACAGAAGACAGGTTAATAAGTGATATTTTACCAATCTCTCCTCATTTGAATGTGTTGCAGATCAGTGTTAGGTTTCATACAATTGTGTAAAAACAGTCACTGTGCTAAACCCATTCTAAATCTGCAGATTTTTAAAAATGCTTGTATTTGTTTATATTAAAAAAGTTGATTGCCTTTTATGTTTTTTTTAATCACTACCCAGTTGTATTACTTTCTTTGCAGCATGTTAAATTTTTACACAAGTGTGTGTCAGCATTTGTCACAGCTGTGGGTTTACACACTACATAATTTTTGTGCTTAGCCCTGAAAATGATATAATGAATAACTGACCGAAAGTTTGTTCAATGCGTTTTCTTCAAGTATCTTGTTTTTATTAGTGTAAGAAAGTGGACTGATGATGTTTGGAACCAACAACTAATAAAATGTGCTATATTTTTCATGAGAATTTTTTTGTGAATCAGTGAATTTGACACAAAAAAGCACCGTAAACAGAAATGTGAAATAGACAATTTGCATTCCATTGTTTATCAAGTGGGGTTTTGCACAGAAAAATTGATTTAAACTGATTATGTAAAAAGATCTTCTCTGTAACTCATTCAAACTTCAAAGATTTATTTTCAACACAGCCATGACTGTCTTCACATAGACAGCGTCAGGCTGAGGTTTTCTCTTGCTGCCCGGCTGCAGGAACTTGCTGATGTTAGGAAGCTGACTCATCCTGCCCTGGAAAGCCTTCAACAAAACATTTTAATGTCAGATGTGTATTTCTCTGAGGATTATCAATTTGTTGTTGCTCTGTACATGAAGTATTGTCATTTAAAAAAAACAAACAAAACATATTTACCTTAATATTTGGAAATTTGGAGAGGATTTCAGGGAATTTCTCCTCCAGCATCAGGCTACATTCTAGCAGATGCACATCCGCACGGCTGAGGCTGTCTCCTACCAGGTACGAGGCTCCGGACAAAGCCTTGGGAGTTTGTATCACATTATATGTTCTAAAACTGTCACAGTACTATAGATTTTTTATAGTATTTTTTTTTACATTATATTGTTACTATAACCTTTTTTCCATACCTTCTCAAACACAGGCAGGTAGCGTTCGTTTGCTTTTTTCTGAATATTGTCAAGTTTTGGTTTTAGGTCTGAACTGAAGGGCAAATACATGATCATTTCCATGACATCCATCAGTCCCTCAGAGTACATGTTGATCCTGAAGGGAAGAACACACACGTAAAGAGTAACACTGGTCTTTTTACGACCATTAAAAACAATATAGTATAATATACTGGGGGAATGGAGGAGGTCATACATGGCGCGGTCTTTGAGGTCTTTTCCATCGAGATTGTACTTCTCCGATATGTAGTTCATGATGGCTCGGGTCTGAACCAGCTTCAGGCCATCTATCTCCACCAGTGGAACCTGCTCGTACATGAGGACTCCATCTGCAAAGGCAAAGCAGCACAGAGTCGTGTCAGGACTTGGGTGTTACATGAAGCTCTGTATTGTCTCATTCTCTATACAAACAAAATGGCTAACAATAAAAACGAGGTGTGGCAGTTTAACTTCCAATCCAAATAGTACGTAACAGAACTCTATAATCTGCAGGCTATGACCCTTATGAATCCACAGAGAGTGCTTCACAACACTAAGAAGAATTCAATACCTGTACGCCACCTGTTCTATACAATACATCTGCGTGAAAAGTGCACTACAGGCATGACAAAGCACATTTTCATGTTCTCCTGCATAAAGGTTTTATGAGTATTTCACAATCACATGCCACTTCTTAGGCATTATGGCAACACAATTACTCCCTTTTACACCTCCGTTATTATTGCCCCTCTTGGTGCTGCAGGAAGACAAACTAGATGATCACCATTCAGTAATTGAATAACTGCCACCACAGTGAACCGTAACGTGGAATAGAAGCTGAAAGGCAACAGTCAAAATCACAAGAATGAAAACGAAAGAATGCTTTAGAACTGAAAAGCAAACTTTAAGAAAACTATCTCACGTGGACAAAAGGAAATGTTTTCAACTGTGCTTTACTAAACTAACACTTTTGATATCTGGCAACATCTCTTCTGCGAAGCATGCCGGGTATTCAAAAAAAAATTGTTATTTTCGTAATATAGAAGCTGAAACTTACTCAAACTTACTGTAAACCAACTCGGCAGTGGATTCTTTTTTTTTTTTTTTACTTAAAACGCCTGGTTATTCACACTTCTATCAAGGATAAGACAAATGCGTTTACGTTTTCCCTTTTATTGATCAGATGTCCAGCAGGTGGCACAAGCGGAATGCTGCGTAAAAGCACGTTTTCAAACATTTCAGGGGATATTTTGCAGCCAACATACCTGAAAGAAGTTTCTCATATTGCTTCCTTTCGGTCAGGATAACCTCGTCGAACTGTGAGTGCAATCATGCAAAAAATACACACTGTGACTCAGTGGGGGTTTATGCATTTTGAATATTTCATATTCAGTAAAAACGCCGAAATTTTATCATACCTCAACTCCAGCAGCAGCCAAAAGCCAGCGGATTGCTTCCATTCTTCCTCTGCCATTGAAGTAATATAGTACGACTTTTTCCGCCATGGTCAATGTAGGAATGTAACTGCACTTCGAAGACAAAATCGCAGATAAGAGTTACGCGTTAGTAACTGTGATATTAAAAAATGTCGAACAGATGTTCTTACATGTACTCAGCCTCTGGTGAAGTGGTGGAACTGACCACTGGACACAACGTTGACGCACTTAGATAATTTTCGTACTCACATAGAAAGGTGGAGAAGACATACGAAGTATCTGATTGGTTACAACTGACCAATGAAAAGGCACGTGTTTATGCATAGCCTCTAAGCATTGTGGTTAAGAGAAATACAAGACTATCTACGGTGTTATTTCGAATATTCCTACATATTGGTGTTTCATTTATTTAGTACTAGTCAAAGATTTTATTCAAAATTCTACAAGTTATGTTTACACTTACACCGTAAGTGTACTCGGTTGGTCTGTGCGGTGCTTTAAGTAAGAGGGAGATGGGACTATGTGACTTGGATGTGAGGGCGATCTGGCTGCGACATCTGTCACCCCATTGATCGCTAGGGTTGATTCGGCTGATCTGGCTGGCTAGGCGGGTGTCCCCTTCCTCCCTCAACGATCCATGTGTGTCCCTCCCGAAGCTCCGCGCTCGGTGGAAGAGGACGGTGTCCCCCCGGCGGACGAGCATCCATCGGTATACCAGTAGCTGCGCTCCCCTGCTAGAACCTCCAAACAAGCTCAAGGCCCATTTGTAGGAGAAACGTAGGGAAGTCAAGCTCCAAGCTTCAGACACATCCAAATGAGGCGCTGCACGTGGCAGTCTGCCTTACTTTTGAATTCATTTTAACAATGTACACATTGTACACAAAGTGTACAAAAAAACCTTCACTGTACACAAAACCTTCGTTGCACTTGTTGCTTAAAATGTATACATTTTATATATATAAATAGCTGGAGAAAATATGATTAAATATCATATTGAATAGAAAAATATGATATGTACTTCCAAGATAAATGGGTGAATTTTACACTGCAATAGTCTATTCTGCAATAGTCTATTCTAACAGACCTGTGATCTTTATTCATAATTGCCTTTTTGATTTTTTTCATCTTTATAAACCAAACTCCGACCAAATGATAGAAAACTTCAGCTTTACCTTCTGAGGGAAATTAATGAGGTGAAATTAATACAAAACTGTGGTTCTAATCCTCCACTCTATATAAATGCTGCACCTTTGATCATTAATATATCATTAACATTACACATAACATTTTTTGAAAAGCATAAAACCCAGTTGAGTTCGTGACAATGCACAAAATAAAATAAAGAAATACACAATAACATAATCACACACCATTTGCCATGAAAATAGGACATAAAATTAGGTTTATTTCCTGTTGAATTTATGACACATTGATATGTGGAAATCATTTGCAATATATTTATTTTACATAAATAAAAAACACTGTTTAATGGTAAACAAAATGTAAAAATTACAAAAAAGGTTTCTGTAATAAAACATATACAGTAGAAATTAAAAAAAAGTCAATAACAAAGGTAAAAGGTACAGCGTTTTAATGTTTCAATGAAATAAGTCATTGAGAACAATATAAATACACGGTAGTGTAGCGTATGCCGCATGCAGAACAGTTTGTCAACAACAAACTTTAAACAATGGCCACCCCTGGAGGACATTACTGAAATTACAGAAATAATATACAACACGTAAGCTGCGAACATTGGCCTGAAACTTTTGGCCATTTTTGCATTTTAAGGTATTTACACGCCGATACTTTACAACATCCATAGAACGCTCTAAGAAACAGTGTTATTGCTGCGTAACATATTACATACAAAATACAATTACAAAACACATAGGCCCTAGTCTTTGGAGGAGAAAAAGAGAGTTCTCTCCTGCAGGACACGCACTAGCGGTGTCCGTATTTGGCAGACCAGTCTGTTCGCCCATGGATGGTCTGTGCAGGCAGGCGGGGCAGCAAGTCAGCGCTGCTTTCATTACCCGAAAGCACGTTGGTGGAAGTGTTTATGTGACTTCGACCAGATCGCCATGTTGCATAATCTAGGACAACAATTGAGAAAAACATAAAGCGTTATACACAAGCAGTTATAAACTAAGACTTTATATATTTAAAGATCTGTAGCTGTGACTTGTAAGCTCACTTGACGCAGACGTATCTGCTGAAGGACCTGGGAGTCCTCTGTGACCGGCAGACCCAGTGTCTTTTTTGTAAAACGATGGCACATATCCACCTGAGACCACGTTTGTTCCTATTAGGGTAAAAACACATCCATCGAATGAGTTCATTATTCACCCCAGATATATGTGCCTGATGGAATAACAAGTGTCAAAGTTAGGCTTCATTAATATCTTTACCATGAGCCCCTCTGCTGGGCAGAGTCCCTCCAAATGGAATAGTACAGTTCCCCCAAAGATGGCTTCCGCCCAGGTATTTACTGGCATTCATGGAGACGTTTTTCTTGGTGCTAATACCTGCAGGTGACAACAAAGACGTCATTATTTGATCACTTAAACTGTTTGAGTTCCATACATTAGAGTTGTACTTAATGTAACTTGTTCTGGGGTTCTGTAAGTAAGAACACTTTTGGACCCTATGAAAGGGTCAGATCACAGACAATTTCAACACATTTGTTACTTTCTTTTGTCATAAATAAATTTTTTATAAGCTTTTGCTACGTTTACGCTTAATTCAGTCTTGTACCCAGTACCAGTGAGGGAGACCATCAGTTGGACATCAGTCATCTTGAATCTGCAGTTTAGAAGTGGAATGGATGCAGTAAATTTACCAGGTAGATGTCTGGATTGTCTTAGATAATGCTGCTTCGCGGATGTGGTCCTCGTCGGCTCTTGAGAGCCTGTCGTCCTGTTCAGGTTTAAAGGTGCGTCTTCTTTTCCACGGGGTCGACTGAAATCCAGCACATTTCCATATCTGGAAGACAGAAGTGAGGAATGTACTAATTAATTAATTGATATTGTTAGAGCTGGTCAATTCAATTAGTCATGTTAATAGAAGTAGAAGGTCAACAGAAGTCATTCATAAAAGTAAAGGGTCTGTTTGATTATGTGCAGAGTGAAAATCAAAGTGACACCACATCTTTATAATCTGTATTAATCTGATTTATAAAAACATTATGTATCATAAACTCACCTACTGAGCACCTCCTCACTCTGTGTTGGCTTCTCTGAACTGAACTCGTTTTTACCCAGAATGCTTATCGAAGCCAGCTCTGGTTCTTCGTACTCGTCCCAGTCGTCACCTTTGAGGTGACCTGTGCCGTGCCCCCATCTGCGCCTTCCTCCTTTAGGTTTCAGGTGATAGCTCAGTAGGTTGGTATTTTCTGACTCCTGCCGTGTTTGCTAAGAGAACAATAACAAGTACAATTTTATATGTGAGGAATATTAAACATGTTTTTATTATGTCAGCTCTAACCAATTACCAACGCTCCATTCTCACCTTGCTGTGGAGACCCTTGTCCACAATATATGGTAGATGATGTGTGTGTTCCTCAGTTAGTTCTTGCTTTGCGATGAGTTTGGGCTGCTGCTGCCCTCGCATCAACTTTGTGTGCTGCTGGTACGCTGTTGCCTGAGGAGCTGGAGGTACAGGGGACGGTTGAATTTGCTGCAGAGGCCTGGAGATGGAGACGTGATGGTTGGAAGGTGGAGGCTGAGAGGGAGGCGCAGGCTTCAGCAGCAGAGATGGCTGTTGGTGATGCTGCTGCTGCTGTAGACTCTGTTGGGCCTGTAGAGGAGCCGGCAGTTGCACAGGACCTGGCTGAGGTCGACCCTGTTCCAGGATCTGCTGAGGAGTTCCCAAAGCCTGGCCCACATGGAAATAAGAGTACCTTAGAGCCTGAGGTGAAAGAAGAGTTTAGACAGTCTCCATCAGTTTAAACAGAGGCTGTAAAAGTAAAGAAATATCCAACAGTCTCTACCTGAACAGTGGTCGGCCTCTTCTTAGGATCCCACTGAAGCAGGTCTGTCATCAGATGTATGGCATCAGAACTAGCATTTGGGATCAGTGTCTTAAGGTTGTTGGGAACACACTGAGGCCAACGGAAGTTCATGGCACTGGCCAGTTGGAATCCCTCCGGCCAATCATTCTGGAGAAAGAAGATCCTTTTCATCTTGCCTACGGCACTTATTGACATTTGTTTTTCATTAACACGAACAGTAATAATGAATGCACACTTCTGTCCTACCTTCTTCGGTGTTCCCAAAACCTGGCAAATCTTGAATATGGTGTCTACTTCACTAGAACCTGGAAAAAGAGGCTTGAGGGTGTAGAGCTCCGCCATGATGCAGCCAACAGCCCATTGGTCTATGGGAGAACTGTAGGATGTAGATCTGAGCAGCACCTCCGGAGCTCGGTACCTTCTCAGAATAGGTGGTGATTAACTTCATTAATGTGCTTAAAGTGATACATATTTCTACATTCGGCTGAGCAGTAACGCAGTGCATGCACTCACCATCTGGTGGAGACATAGTCTGTGTATGGTGGTCGAGATCTGATCTCACGGACGAGTCCAAAGTCAGCGATTTTCACCAGCTCTGGACCCATGCATAGCAGATTCTCAGGCTTTATGTCCCTGTGAAAAAAACCTTAAAAAAACAACACCAACCTGGTGTATCATAAATGCTCTGAACAAACTATTTTTAGTAGCTATTATTATATGATATAATATTTACCACTCTGCAGACCTACCATGTTTATGAATGAATGCCAGACCCTGAAGGATCTGAAACATGATATTTCTGACTGTAGACTCAGGAAACAACCGAGTCCTGCAGAAAAATATGGATGTCAGTATTAAGAAAGCACAGATGAAATAGTGATAGAATAGAAGCTGTACACACACCTGTCCTTCATAAGCTGATATAAATTTTCTTTCATGTACTCGAATATGAAGTACAAGTGATCGTTCTCTCGAATCACCTCCTTCAGCTTGATCACGTTGGCGTGGCTGAGTTTTTTTAATGACTAAAGGCAAGAGAAGAATGACAGGTTTACGTCAGAATATGTGCAACACATGGAAGGTAACTGTTTGTCATGCTGAGTAAAATACCAAACATCTCTGCAGCAGATTCATAGAGCACAGCTTAGAACCAAAAAGAAAATCTTCTCTCCAATCATGCCTCGTCAGTAAGGATGTTCAGCAAGTACGTACATGCTGCGCAGGTGGGATTTTTCTTTAGTTTTCAAAGGAGACAATAAACAGAGCAGGATGGACATGGACTCTTCCCGGGCCCTGGGTTTATTCAGTTAGGAAGGGGAAACAAAGCTCTAAAGGGGCGTAGAGACTTTATGCCATGTCATCACGTGCGGAAATGAGGATCTAATTAGTGGCACGCTAAGGAGCAGTGTGTTCTATGAACTAAAGGTTTGGTTGTACGTTAAGGGAGGGTGGGTAGGTAAAACCAACAGCAGAATCACCTTCTACACTGCACTGTGACCTTCGGCTGCAGGGAGATTTAAACAGTAACATTGATGTTGAAAGGAAAAAAAAAGTATGGTTAGCATGTTAAGCATCCAACATTAGCTGTTTAATGTTCAGACTGCATCAATTTAACAATCCACAAATATGTATTTACATGATTTACATAGATAGATAGATAGATAGATAAAGGGACGGTTGATCTTTCATTACAAAAATGTGATATCAAAATTATTCTGTCTGCAAAAAAACCCACTGACCTTGACTTCACGCAAGTTTATGCATTCTTCCCAGGAGTAGAATTTTCTTTTCATTCTAGAATAAAAGTATGAAATATAATTTTTGAATTATGTGCTGCACGATCAACCAATCAACTTTGAGTCATACTCAAACACATACACATACTCACTTCTTTATGGCTACAAGTTCTCCTGACTCCAGGCTGCGCCCGAGAATGACAGAGCCGTAGGTACCATCCCCCAGCTGTCTGATGTTGGTGTATCTATCCATTATGCTTCTTCTAATTCCATGTCATCATGAGTTGAAAGCATCTGAGTGATGGTGTCCTGCTGCTGAATGTAACCAGATTTTTCTGTGACAACAGCAGGAGACCGAGGGCCAGGCTGGAGGACTCATGGTGCCATGGATGTGCCTTTATAAATCTAAGAACGTGAAAAGTATTAATTTATATTTATGTACGTAAAGATCTTTGACCTCTCTCTTATAACACACATTGCTTAGAGGAAATCTTAAAAAAAATGGTGGAAAAATGACATTGAATGAAAGTGCATTTGTATTCGTAGAAGCTCTATAATTAATTAGAAAATATCGGTAACCGACATACAATACCCCCAAAGGCCACACGTGGGAAGCACCCGTACATGTTAGCACACGTCTGATATATGTTTATTACGTTCATATTTAGCCACTACAAGCTCACGAACGCCTTATTATAGCTGTTTTATTTCAGTCATTAATCCTAAGGCCTAAACCCAACGTAACTATTAGCCCGCAGAATATTTATCATAGCTGCACAAAAATCAATTTTGTTAGGTTTTTTAAGGTTATACTCCTTTTCAGCAGATATCAGACTTGTTAAGGACAATTGTTTTGCATTGGACTGTAGTTAAAGCAACACAATTAAGTGTATTTAGTGCTGTGGTTCTGGGGCATTAATAAATGAATAATAACACAAGTACGAAGACAAAAAACAAAACAATACTCACCCTCTCACGCCAAACTGACAGATGCACTTAGCCAAGCATCTGTATGCTACTTATAACGAATACTTGTGCGGAAGTAGTTTTAGGGATGTAAAAACTGCATTGATGGAGTCCGCCACAAAATGAAAAAATTACGCATCAAAACACAACAAAATATAAAATCTCAGCAAGGCCGTTTCGGAACTGGGTGACGGCAATGATAGTAGTCTCGCGACAATTCACACTAAATGTAAGCAATCACAGCTTCAGAATATGTAACGCGAGATTTAAGTGTATGCGTTGTACTTCCGTTGAGCTTCTAAATTGTATTTCTAACACGTTATTAGTTTAAAATTGTCTGGGTACATTTTATATATGTTACAATAAAATACTAACACAACATACATACAGTTATGTAAATAAATTAACGATGTAATGACAGTGCAAAGACGGAAGTACGTGAAGATATACATCTCGTTTTTCCAGAAATTTTTAGTAAACCCTAAAATTGCTTTTGTTATGTAAAGCTGTCTCATATGAAGTCCAGAACCGTCTCATGCATTATGTAAAAGATTATTGTAGAAAAAAGGCCACAGTGACCATGGATTGATCATCACCCAAAACTTTACCAACTGGGTTTCATAGCTCAGAACATACCCAGGCAATATATAGCCATTGTTGAACAGATAGAATGGTATATTGCTAATGCACAATTTTAGTGTTATTGCATTATTTAGCAATTGTACTGGATTGTGAGAAATTTTGGATGTTGTCCTAGTTATCTGTTCTGTATACATTAAATAGTAAAATTGTTCTGTTCTAGAGTTATATGTTGGGTTTTTTTTCTTAACATCTGGGTAATATGTTGAAACAATGTTAGGTGTACTGCCAATATTAGTGATATGGAGTTATTGTGAAAAAGTTGATAAATAATGTGGATGATACAAGGTTCTATAAACTCGGTAATCGCTCAACAGGGATCCTCCTCTGTACTTAAGGCTATCGAACTAGTTTTTCTTCTTCGTCTCCTTTTGCTTGGGTTCCTGTATTGCTCGTGGGCACTCAGCGAAATGGCTGCGTTCCTGCGAGCTCGTAAATATGTTCGCTGTGTTGTCCGTTTCTCCGACCGTGAACTGTAAGCGCTAGTTTTGTCGGGCTTGGAGAGACCTACGGAGTCGAGCTGTCATGGTAAGAAACTGTTTTCTTCGGTTCTTCACACACTAAGCTCAGTTAGCTGAGTTAGCCTACTAGGCTAAGTGAGCTAACGTCACCTGTTTGGTCACCTGTGGTGCACTAACTCGGGTTGCTCTAATGTTATATAACATATATAACCATCTGTCGGCTATATTAGGGAACTCGACCGTGTTCGTCTATATTGATGTCACAATGTCATTCATATTGTGTAAATGCATAAGTAAGAAGTTTTAAAGCTACCTGTTTTTAACTCACTTTAGTAATAAATAATGTTAGTAGCTTCATGTCAAAATAACCCGAAAGTGCTGTGCTACATGTTTCAATGTTTTCTTGCGATTTGATATTTGTACACAGAATACAAAATGTTACTTTTTTTATTTCCTTGAAATGTGTACAGTAGACAAAGTCAACCAAATATTACATGCTTATACTTCAATGTAGGCTGAATGTATTTGGGAAAAATGTTATTTTAACTTTGAATACCTTTTTTTAAATATTTTATTCACTAAGGCTGATGAACATGCAGGGAATGGTGGTACAGTTGAGGATGATGATGAAGGTTCACATGATCCAAACCTTCATGTAAGTGTTATTGTAATTGTAATTTCTGTATATTTCTGTATAATTTCTATATTGACTCCATCATTGCCAGTAACATATGTTGCTCAACTGCTGAGTCATACATCTTGACAAGGGGTTGCTTGATAACTGCTGTTAATTCATATTTCTGAGTTAAAGTGATTCAAACTAAATGTTTTGCTTATGAGGTTTCAAAATATTTTACACAATCCCAAAACTTCAAACTTCCTGTAAATTGATTCTCAGGTGAAGCTGAATGAATTCAGAACTCAGTGGATGTCTGAGCTCAAACCAGCCTCAGAAGCAAGTGGAACTAATGACCAACTGCCACGAGCCAGAGGTCCAAAATGGACCAACGCTGTTTCTCAGGAGCAGAAAGTGCGTTGATAAGTCGTTCCTTCGGAATCATAGTTATTTCTTCATTAGTACAGTGGCTAAATTTTAGCTTGCTGTTTCAAGAACATAATTAAGTTGTCTTTTCTTAGGCAACTGAGCTTTTTTTGAAAGCTGTTCAAGAGGAACAGAACGGCGCTGTCTATGAGGGTATGTTTGTGTTTATTTTTATACTTATTATTAGCCTTTCTTTTTAGTATCAATATCCATAAATACATATTTAAACTAAATGTTCATATACTTTTGACTAACTGTAATGGTATGTTTTTAGGATGCTAAAATAATTTCCTTTTCTTGCAGCCATTAAGTTCTATCGTTTGGCTATGCAGCTTGTGCCAGACATCGAATTTAGAATAAACTACAGCCGCCCTCCTGATGCAGATGAAGCAGGTCAAAATTAGTAAGTGGGTTTTGAATTATTAATGCATTCTCAAAGGTTGTACAATTGCTTAAATTCGAAAATAATAACTTAAAGAGGAAATAAATGGCAGCTGTGAAAAACATCTGCCATTGTGTTTCTGTCAGTTTGTAAACTCATGTCATCGTGACTGTTGCAGAATTCTCATATGTAGATCATTGTTGTAGTGAATGTAATATCTTTGCAATGGGTGAAGCAACCCTTTCTATAATGTCTAAATGTGTATTTGTATTTGACAATCATAGCCTATGTTTACTCTTAATTAAAGGATTCATATAGTAAATAATTATTTGTTCAACTAAATATTTTTCCTAGCATTGAAGGCAGTGATGTTGACGGTGATATTGAGGACCTACTTGCCTACTTTGAACAGCAGCTCACTCTGGAATGCACAGGTCCAAAGATCTGTACTCCCGAGCTGGAACTGACCCAGATTCACATTTCAGGTAAAAGAAATTGGACATTATTTACATGATATCTTAAGTCTTTACTAATTTGAATTAATTGCAATGGATTTCATCCTTGCTTTATTTGACTGCAGCCTTGCCACATGAAATCCTGATGTACATATTTCGCTGGGTTGTGTCAAGTGATCTGGACATGCGATCCCTGGAACAGCTCTCCTTGGTTTGCCGTGGGTTTTACATTTGTGCCAGGTCAGCACAGGTTTACATCTGTTAATTTGAAATTGCGACGTTTTGGGCCTTGTATTGTTGCTGCTTAAATGAATGCTACCCTTAAAACATGTAGCTTTAGTGAGTGATTTATGTTCTCTCACACACAACCATGTTTCTGTTTAGAGACCCTGAGATTTGGCGCTCAGCTTGTTTCCGAGTGTGGGGACGGAACTGCACCAAAATTGTACCTTTCAAGTCCTGGAGGGTGATGTTCCTGCAGAGACCTCGTGTTCGTTTTGATGGTAAAATATTATAATATTTATTTTAGTAATTGTAAATGAAAAACCTGGATGGTGTGTCTCAGGTTGTTTATGCTGATGTAAAACTATGTATTTAAACACAATTTATTTATTTGTTAAAATCCAAAATAAAAAAAGCAGTACTTTCAGTAAACATGTTTAGGGGGTTTTGTTGCATAACTTCCAAAGCAGTACATTCAGTAAACAGGTTTAGGGGGTTTTGTTGCATAACTTCCATGTGTTGTCTGTGAAATTGCTGGAAAGCTGATTTTCCTTTTGCTACAATGTATTTGACATTGACAACTTTAAACTGTATGTATTTTCTATTACTACTGCTATTGTTGTTGATGCTAACTAAATCTTCTGATCATAGGTATATATATCAGCAAGACAACATACATCCGCCAAGGAGAGCAATCGCTGGATGGATTTTACAGGGCTTGGCACCAGGTTGAGTTCTACAGGTACAACACTGTGGTGTTAGTAATTTAAGACATTATTATATTTTAGGGTGTTCAGATATAGTACAGAGAGTAAAGAACCTGAATGAAGAGTTATTCCTAACTGTTGGGCAACACATTGCAAACTACTATTTTCAAACTGCTTTCACATTGTTTTGGGTTATTTAGTTTATTTTTTATTTTTAATGTTTATGTGTGTAACAATAGACATGTAACAGGCATAGCTATTGTGTGAGGTGAAAAGCAGGAAGGGGTTTAAATAAAATGCTAAAAATGTTTGACGTTTAAAAAAAAAAGGGAGTTTAAAAAGACAAAAGATATGGTGTATTTAACTCCACCAAACACAAAATATTTGGCGTTGATTTCGAGGACAGTGTTGCGTCTGACGGGCTTCGTAAATCGGTCAACACTGTGGACACGAAGAGTCAAGACAAGGGATAGTGAACAAGTTTCTTTGTTGGCAATAAAGCAAGAAAACAGAGGAACCCCAAAGCAGTATTTGCATGAAAGGGCTGCTCTACCGGTTTTTCAAATGCTGACCCACCCCCGTCACTAAGGTAGGTAAGTTTGAAAAACCAGGTTAAGGCATTCTTACTGTTGATGTTTACTTCTTGATGTACGTACAATCCTATGAAAGTTATGACAAAACTGTCAGCAATTCTCTTTTGTCATACTTTTGGTTTATCTCAAATTGTTTAAATCTCCCAAATAATTAATGTCAGACCATGCCCAAATTAAGTTAAATAAGCAGAATGTCAAAATGTTGCTTTTGATACTGTAGATATTTCCTCCACAAATGAAACTGTGGTAGAAGCTAACAGTTATAGCATTGTTTAATTATGTTGTTCAGATGTAAGCTTAGGAAAACAAAATTAAAATATTACAACCCACAGATACTGTAGCTTAACCAAGTGCTGATATGATTGTACAGGTATTTTCGCTTCTTCCCGGATGGCTATGTTCTCATGCTAAACACCCCTGAAGACCCTCTGTCTGTCGTTCCTTGTTTGCGTTCAAGAAACCCCAGGTTAGACGATCATTATATACAGTAACCTTTACCATTGAGCACAAGCGCTTAACTGTGTCATGCTTTAATACTTTTTTTGTTATTTGACAGAATGGACTCTGTTCTCTTTGGCCACTTCCGTCTGATAAACGAGGCTGATAATAAAACCAAAGTTTTTGTTGTTTGCAAGAAAAAGGAGGAGGTAAGGAGTAAGATCATTTATTTTATGGTAGGCTAAACCTGCTGTTATTATATTATCTTAATGTCCACTGCTGCTGCAGAAAGGGACCGAGATTCCCAGAAATCGGTTCTGCAGGTGGAACACTGTCCCAGAGGCCGAACACGCCTTCCATGTGGGTTTGCATGTGTCCTCTGGGGGGCGTCAGAGTAAGCTGACATGGTTACACCACTCCTGCCACATCACTTACAAGTAAGACCAGAAGGACAGGAATAGCAGCTCTAGTGTCTAGTTTTCCTTTGGCTTGTCTCAACACTACTGACTTTATGATCATTTTCAGGTTGACTGGAGAAACCATTATCACAGCATTTGACCTGAACACGATGTATACACCCTTCTACTTTGCACGAGTGAAGAGTTACACTGCTTTCTCTGAGCAGCCACTTTAGTTAATTAGACGTTGTCCTCAGACGCTTCGTTCTTTTTGCTGCAATTGAATCAGCGTTTTCTGCAGGTGTACATGATGTAATTCTACTTATTTTCTGATTTCAGAAATGGCAGCACTGTACTAAGAGCTATATTCTCTAGTTGTTCAAATCATTGAATGTTCCTGCTGTTTTTCTTTGATCTCGTACTTCCCACAGGCCTAAATAAACTGGTGGAAAAAAACAAATGCTCTTACAAAGTGATTTTATTTATAACTATTTGGTTTCATTGACTACGTATAATAGAGTCTAGTCGACTTCAGAAACAAAAGCTGAAGAGAAATGTGGAAAAAGTTTGTGATCTACTGGTGAAATGTGCTGTTCTGTCTGTTGTTTTTTGTGAGTGTACTGTTAACAGAGCATGAACTCACTAATGTGTCACTATATACTGTTGAAATACCTTATACACAAGTTGGGTGCACTGGTATAAGATAATTGGTTTGTTAAAACTAAAGCTAATGCAGCAATACTGTTTTTAAATGTTTTTTGATGACAAGTTTTAATATCGATTTTGGAGACTAGTGACTGTCCACTGGATGCATTATGTCACAAACACCTGTAATACTGTACATGCAGGAGCACGTGTCACAAACATGATAACCTGTAATACTGTACATGCAGGAGCACAGATTTCTGCTGCATGGTGGATTTGTATACTCCAAACAGCAATATTCCCATATATTGAGATGACACAAATGACACATTTTAATCCTCATAAAACCTACATTCCTGCCTCAAAAAATCTAGTACACCATGTTTGCCCAGTTTTGCCCTGCAGCTTCCAGGGCCAACCTCATCACTCACCTTATCCACTGCGTATTTCTCAGCCCATGGCCTGACTCCCTAACTGTAAATCAGAGTGCAAGAAACTGTTTGCACAGCGACTGACCAGAATTTCACACACCTCCAAATTTCACAAATAGTTGCTCTGTGTGGCTCAGTGTTCGCTCTGTTTAATGTCTACACACAGCAATGCTAAAGCTGTAGTCAGGCTGATGCCACTTAACGTAAGTGGAAAGAACCGATGGAATCTAAGGTCATGTGCTGAATAGCATCTTCACTAGCGTGGCAGCTTCAGGGAAAATAGTTTGGCTGTTATGTAACGTGTTCAAAGTCTACTATTACCAGTTAAACCTGATCCACAGGACTTACTGCGTCGAGTTGCCCTCGATGTAACTATTTTTGGTTAAGTTGACCTGGATCAACCTACACTGACAAACCCAAAACATTCCAAAAAGTAAAGGCACATCATTTGCAGAATTGTCCAATTTATTTATTGTGGCGAAGTCATTTCTTTGCATCTCCATCACTGGCCTGGCATATTTCAATTGTGTAATAGTGAATACTAAGGTATAATTGTATTCCTACACTGTTGGAGTTTAAAGGAAGGTTAGTACACTGACATCCCTTTAATTTATAGCATCAGAGATGAAAAAATACGTAGCAATCCCAACATCTTTTTAGCTAGCTTTTGGGGAAAAAAAATTGTAAAATGAAAAAACAAACATTCTTAACATGCAAAATATAATTGAGGCCACATTTCTTACGATTGTATTTATCAATAATTTGTACAAAGACCACCCTAAACTAATGAACTCTACAAAACTATTCTTGATTACGTATTGATTAGATCTCTCCCCATAAGTGCTTTGCTAGTACAGGGAAACAGTACGGAGATGGAGTAGGATCTGTGTCAGTCTCACTCCCTGAAAAAGGTCACTGATAATATCCACATGCACATTTTTACGTGCAATATTATTAGTAGAAAATGTAAATGATCAGCCAATGCGACTAATATACATAGTGTGGTATATTGGAGGTAACTTCAGTGCAACTGCATTCTTTGGAGATTTGTCTTTAGGTCTACAGTATTATACCTGAGTTTTAGTCACAATGGCTGGGTTAAGAAAAATCTCATTTTGGTTTATGCATTAAATAATTACTGAATGTGGTCAGTTTCAAAAGTTAACCCACCCACATTTCAGTTCTGTACAGTTGTAATTTCTTTATTCATCGGGATTGTGTCGTAGTTTGTGCATAGATACGTAAACTATGTGGAATAACATTCTATGTGACTCTAGCTTTTTTGCTGTACGTACGGAAATACCAAACTATACTAAATAAGTAGATCCATATACTGGTGCCCTAGGACAGCATACCAGTCTAACCCTACAGTGAGCTATGTAACAAGAGGCGTCTCCTCCAGTGTCAGTCTAGCCGTATTTTCTGCTGGGAAGAGTTCTCCTGAGATGTTTTCTTGGCCTGTCCGTTTCTTGATACAGTAGAACCATTCTGGTGCTCTTTCTGTCGGGAACTGTTGCGCTTATTGTATGTCTTTTGCGAGAGAATGAGAAGAAAAAATGGCATGTTATAGGTAACAAAGTCAATATCTATATAACAGTTTTTATAATCAGGTCCCCAATTTCCTAAAGGGAACTCCTGAGGATTAAAAAAAGTTCTTTCTATCTATCTATCTATCTATCTATCTATCTTATTACATGTCTGTTTTTACGCCAAACTGCACCTTCTGCTTAAATTCTACATCCAGCTTTTACTACTTATTTTACACAGTAACCATGTGAGCCTATGTCGACCAGTAGAATATAACTTTGAATACATGCAAAAGACTGTCAGTAAATTAAACATTTCTCAAAAAAAAAAAAAACTCAACTAACCTGAATGTAAAAGTTTGAGAAAAGCAAGATTAGTGTGAGCATGTAACTGATAAGAAAGTACAGCCATCTTATGGGGAAGCCACACGGCCATGCAGTCGCACACCACGTATGAAAGATGGTTGAAAAGAACTGAACCTGTGGAGCAAAGACAGGACACAGGTGTTGACATATCCCAGAGTGAGAAGTTGACTCTTTGAAAGTATATAACTGTAATACCTATTTACAAAGCTAAAATTGACCTTGAGTTCACAAGAATGCCTAAAATGTCTGTGTGGCCTTAAAGCTGCAGAGAATAGATACCGAAATGCAACATGCAATAAACTAGAAGGCACTTTTATAACGACACAGCTCTGTGGGAAATAGTGTGACCTGCAGTAGATGCTAGTTAAATCCAAACAATAAAGCAGGGAAATGTTAACTGCTGCTCCCCCCCCCCCATTCCACCTCCTGTCTTTGTGCCTGATGTTAAAATATCTCCAGACTGCTGACATTATTGACCTATTTGAATAAACTACTCATGATAGGGAAACACACAACAGTGACTTACCAGTGCACAGCCTGTTGTGGTGAAAAAGCTGTTAGGGAGTAGCAGTTTGCCACATCATCACATTAACAAGTATCTGTAATAATCTGTAATCTGTATCAGTGCCTGTCCTTCCTAGTTACACAGATAAGTAAATCTCAGCGTCGTGACTTCCTCCTCCATCAAATTCCACAGGACTTTGGAAAGTAATGATAACACAACATACTTTGTATACAGTGAGTTATAAACTAAATATACAAAGTTAATTCTCCGGAAACAATTTCTTTTAATAGATATAATGTATATACACACCTTTATTTTTAAACAAAGCACTGAAGGGAACTCACCAGCTGTAACTGTGTGATGTATCTCTTCCACCAGAGGTAAGGTCTTAGTCCTGGGATGGCTGATAGACCATAGTAAGAATACATCACAACGTGGACGAAGCAGTTGATGGCTGCGCCATAGAACGCTGGTCATAAAGAAAGGACAAATAGTCATTCACAACTATGATTTTTACCAAGATTTAATCTCTTAGAATCTCTAAGAATTTATTTTGGCCACGTCATAAAACATTGTCAGCATATTGGTTAATTTCTACTTATATTTTGGCAAAAGTTTAGCTATGTTTACTATATCTCACCTACAGCTCACTTGTTGGGGATTTGTTTTAGTTTAAGGGCTATCTTAAATGGGAAACTTGGAGGAACTGAAAAAAGCAATGAACCAAATTAAGCTATATTCTGAATGTGTCACAGATGGTCGATGGTGCTGTGCAAGTCTGCAGGGATTCTACCCCCTGTACGTGTTTTTCTTAAAATCTCAACGGCTTCAGAAGATTATGGAGAAAGTATTTACCAGTGTTAATAAAACCAGTAGGTGGCAGTAAATGTAATAGAAAAGGTGTCTGTTGAAAGCCAGGGAAACAGTGTTGGGGAGAGTGTTGAGCTGAGTTATCTCAGCCGAGCCTAACATTCCAGGAGAATGTGGATTTTAAGCCATACATATCTTTTTTTTTTGTGATAGTGTCTTTTCCCCTTGTTGAACTCTACACACTGGAATATAAAGTTGCAGTTAAGGACTTACTGTGGCCAGAAGGAATCCAGTTCATGACAAACCACCAGATATTCAGCATGCTAACGTGGTGGTAAACGTGCAGAAATGTGATCTGATGATTGTTCTTGCGTAGGATAAAGAAAAAGGTGTCCATGAACTCGATGAGTTTGGAGAAGTAGTACCACCACAGGGCTTTCATCACCTTAGATAAGACAGGGAGGCAGGAACAGTTATTTATTAAAAGATAGAAAACATAAAATAAGTAATAAAGTAACCAATCAGAACTATTATTTGCTCTGACATGTTGATAAAATGGTTTATTTTGATTTAATCACTGTGGATGGCATGTACACATTTGAAATTGTGTACTGTTTTCACTTGCTGAGCTTAGCAATGACAACAGTTCTCATGTGAACATGAACTGAAATAAACAACGTCCTCAAGTCTTTCCTGCCCAAAAATAGGGGCTTAGTCTGAAAACCTCAGCAGTATTGATTTGGGGGGAAAAAGGACTTATCTTTTAGATTAGGTTTGACCAACCTTATTATCTGCTTGTGGTGCACCTCGAATGTCTTGACAGTACCAGTTGTAGCCACCACTCCAGGCAGCTGTAACAAGCTTAAAAACAACCATGTGGATTAGTATTTGGATGTAGCAGACAGTAGCAGAGGGAAACAGACACAGTGTTGTAAAAACTGACTTTCCTCTTCGAGTCCCAGTCTGATAACCAGGTCTGGAAACATATCTATCAGTTGTGGCCATCATTCTTCTGCTGCTGACGTTGGCCAATAAATATTTAATTTCTAATCCAGATAAAAGCAATTAAAACATAATGTAGGTCATGTTTAGGCCATGTTTATTTTACAGTGGGCTATGACAAATACTCAACTGCTTGGTGTATTCACTTTAGGGTCAGTGTGTGCAAGATAAACATATAATTCTATTAAATTGTACAGTAAATCACTTCAATGGATTTTACTGCTGCAGTCTGAAAGGTTGACAGTTATGTAATTGTGTTACGGTTGGCTTCATGTAGTATGATTGTTAGGCGGTCAAAAAAAGTAACCCATGAGCAAGGTCTTTGTCAGAGTACAGAGTTTCATTTCTCACGCAGGCAACAGTCTTTCCTGGTCTTTGTTCTACCTGCTGGATATGAATGACTGAACTGATACTTTAGACTTCCATGAGCTCACGGTCACCACGTTGAGGTGTTCTAAAGTACATCTGGCAACACGTACTATCACCACAATAAAAAAAGTCTGGGTTTTACCCTGAGCATCGAGGTGACCTCGGTCAAGACATTTACACAAGTCTTATCAGTTTGAGGCACTTCTTTAGTAGTTTATATTATTAGTTTTATAAACAGCAGACAGTGCTGTGTGTTCTGGTGGTTAAAACAATGACTGCAGGATTATTCTGCACCTTGTTTTCCTCCGTAACAAATGTGTCTTAAATAATGTCTTAAATAGAATAATGACTAAAAAAGATTTTATGATCCTCCGGCAGTATATCTGTGGAACCCTAAGAGGCCCGGGACCCTTATGTTGAAGACGGTGGAAATAGAGCATAGTTGATATTTGCTTTAACATTGTTGGAGTTGTAGAGTTCAGGCCCCAGGACCCAGCCTGTAACCTGGTGACTCACCACTGCTGAGGAGTAGTCTGTCATTTGGTACAATAACTATGTCTAGTTGACGGCCTTTATCGTTCAAAGGCATATTTGACATTGCTCTCAGTGCTGATTGTTCACATTACCTCATAGAACATATATAAGGACAGCAGGGTAAGGCCCAGGTTGTAGAGCACCATGAAGCCCCTGCAGGAGTACGGCTGTCGGTGCTGCATGTACTTGGGCCCCATCCACACAATCAGAAGGTACATGACTGTAAGTGCAAAGGTTGGTGTGTAGTTGTCCAACAGCAGCCACCCTGTCGCCCGCTGATCTGAAATAGGCACAGCACACGTTTCTATCCCTGGTGTTTGTTAACTGCCTTGGTGACAGGTGAAAGGTGACAAGCAGTGGTTGATCAATGGTTGCTCAATAACTCAGTAGACTGTACATTATGCTATGTAATGTGTAAAGTCTAAGGTCAAAGGCCAAAATCTCAGGTCAAGTTTTACACTTCCAAGAAGCAAGGATGGAGTATACAGTATTCCCTCATGCAACATTATATATTGCCATGAACTGGACGATATAAGAGAAAAATATAATAATACATTTTGACATATTGAGAATGAAGCCTACATTTTAATGTTATCATTTTGTCTTAACTGACACGTTTCTCTTGAAATTGACATTGAAATAAATGTCTTAGAGCTGCACAAATAAATGCTGATGAAACTATTTTAAATAACTTTAAATGTAAATTTTACATATAATATAAAATATATTTTGTTGAATACGTGCAGATAATGACAGTTGTTCAGATTGAGAGGTATTATTTCTCTCTCAAAGGATTATAGACTTGTCTTACCTCTTGGACCCAGCCATGATTCCATGTAAGTGTTCAGTTTATTGTTGACGGCTTCCATTTGTCACCTGAACACAGAAGGTGACACTCAATTAATCAGTTAATTAGTTTGGATGCAGTTGCAGCATTGGAATATCAGGCACTAAAAGCAGATCATAACAAAGTTGACGTGTTTATGAAAATACAGACTGTCTCTCCCTGCAGCTTGGTGTGGAGCAGCAGATGTTCTGTAGAGGAGCGTAACTCTTGTTTCTGTTAACTTTGTGCTTTTTGCTCTGTTTACCTTTACTGTCAGTTTGAATTTTAGCCTCTCTGTTTTGTTTCCATCTTGTACAAATATGAAATACTTGTGGTTCGATTATATTTGTCTACACCTCACTCGTGGAGACAGAATGAGAAGTACATTTTAACAGCTAACTGTGCATCGTTTTGTCAGGGACATTTATTTTGCTTCAGACCCTCTATAGCAGGGGTGTCAAACATATGGCCCGGGGGCCAAAACCAGCCCGCTAGGGTGTTCAATCCGAATTAAGAATAAACAAAAAATACACAAGCACTTCATGTATTATATGATATTTTTTGAAGAAAATATTTTTATTAAATATGAATAAATAATAAATAGCTAATATACTTGCTATACATCTTTGCATGAAAACAAAGGTGAAAAACATGGACTCTTTGTTATTTATAGTTAATTATGTTATGATTGTACTGGTCCGGCACACTTGACTTGTTCTCAACTGTATGCGGCTCCTAAACCAAAATTTGTTTGACACCCCTACTCTATAGAATCATGGTAAAAAAAACTGCAAGACAGGACAGGACAGGATGTTTGCAAAAAGACTCATAACTATTGATTCACAAAACACAGTCAGAAATAACCATGCAGCTCACCTAAAAACTGATCACTCTTCAGACCAAACTCCCATCCTGTATTTGCACAGCCTGATCACACTGCCACAACCAGGGTTTTTGCCATGTTTCGCAACCTCAGAAATCACCCGACTACTGTTTCTTTCCGACTATTTAACCACTAAAATAGACCTGGGCTTACCATGGAGCTGAAATCATAAAAAAACACAGAAAATGCAATCTACTTACCGATCTCATCAGATATGATGTACTACAGCCACAGCCGAACAACTGCACGTTTGAGACACAAATTCCTGATATATTCTGGTTTGATAAAATAATCTCACTTGAGTGACATTCAAATTATATTTGTGTGTCACTGAGATTAAAACAAATCCCCAGATGTAGGGGTTAACAGGCTGACCTTGGACAGAAATGTGAGAACATCTATCAATTTGCAAGCAGCTCCCATGCAGTCATATGATACTGACATAGAATAACAGTGGCGTGTGGCCTTGTGTTATTATTTGTTGAGCTTTGTATTGAAGTTTACCCAGAGTTTTCTGACATTTTCTTTAAGCAGTTATATAAATGTCACACCGTTTATTGGAAGTCACACTATTACAACTGATCTATTTTTATAACAGATAATCAAAGATATCAAAGAGAGCCTTTACCAGAAGATGATAAACCACCAGACCTAAGTCAGTGACCCATAAACAACACCCAGGTTAACAGCCAACTTAGTTGCTAAGTGCCGTACACATACAAAAAGCCATGCAGCCGGAGGAGACGTCGATTACTGTCATTACGTTAGTGTGATAATATTTTATTATAAGAGGCCGTAAAATAATTCAGCCCTTGAAAAACACAACCCATGACTTGTGCCATTTGTCATTGATGTATTTCCACTTACGCCCCATGCACACCACGTGTCTGTTTGTGGGCAGTGCTGCAAATCAATGGTCCCTCAGGACCTTTATTATTTATTCATGGGTGTAATAATGTTCCCCTGTTTAACTGATTTGGAAATATGCACACATTTATTCTAAAAATATACCACTTCAAGAACTGTTTTTTAGATATGGTAATTTAAAAACAATTGTATACATAAATACAATTTTAAAAATATTTTTAATAATATTTAATTAATATTATAATTTTGAATTCACAACATTTAACTACATGTTTACTATCATGTAAACATTTCCTCCAGCGTGAGACATTAGGATATTTGGTTCAGCCATTACCTTGAAGTCATTTTTTTAGAGGAACATTAGCTCTGAGCAATTTAGAGTTCAGGATAGCCTTAGAGGAAACTGTAGCTTCCTGTGAGTAACTTAGTCCAGTTATGTCGTAAGTTGTTTTTATAGCCAATACTTGGTTGTTATCCTTAGTTGTAACAATTTGTTTGCACATATTCACCCTGATGACACCATAAATGCAACGTTATGGTGTAATGTATGTGATTTATTTTAAATGAAAACTATGATTGTCAGTGGTAAGATTCCCACCTACCATTAAGAAGGTTCTGGGTTCCATTCCCCTTTATTACCAATCCCAGCCTGGGTTTACATTTTAAATGACTGATAACGTCTTGCATAGAAAAATAATATGCAAATAGTTTTCTTCTTTCTGTAGTTATTATTATTATTATTATTATTATTATTAAATTAGTTCATACACTTCTGCCCCAGAAATATTTTCCGAGATGCCCCAGCACCGGTAGTAGTAGTTGTTTACTATCATGTAAACATTTCCTCCAGCGTGAGACATTAGGATATTTGGTTCAGCCATTACCTTGAAGTCATTTTTTTAGAGGAACATTAGCTCTGAGCAATTTAGAGTTCAGGATAGCCTTAGAGGAAACTGTAGCTTCCTGTGAGTAACTTAGTCCAGTTATGTCGTAAGTTGTTTTTATAGCCAATACTTGGTTGTTATCCTTAGTTGTAACAATTTGTTTGCACATATTCACCCTGATGACACCATAAATGCAACGTTATGGTGTAATGTATGTGATTTATTTTAAATGAAAACTATGATTGTCAGTGGTAAGATTCCCACCTACCATTAAGAAGGTTCTGGGTTCCATTCCCCTTTATTACCAATCCCAGCCTGGGTTTACATTTTAAATGACTGATAACGTCTTGCATAGAAAAATAATATGCAAATAGTTTTCTTCTTTCTGTAGTTATTATTATTATTATTATTATTATTATTAAATTAGTTCATACACTTCTGAGATGCCCCAGCACCGGTAGTAGTAGTAGTATTCGTTTCATACAATACTCGTACATGTATCCTGCAGCATAGTTATGGCAGCATGGTTACTGCTACAGTACCTGCCGAGTAAAATTGTGATCGAATATGAAGGAGCCAATGAAACTCCGGTTATGTTCGAAGCATCATATTAAATAAGAGTCATTTTCCACGTGTTAGAAACTACAGTCAAACATCTCTACGGTGTACCGTCATTGTCAGAGACGACAAAGCAGAACTGATTACGTCGCTAATACGTCATCATCCTATTTTAAAAACCTCTATTACTAGCCAATTCGCCACGACAATTTTAATATTATTTACAATATTAACTTGTGAACTCCGAGACTGTCGCTCCAGCATCACCTAACGAACTCCTTTGGGAGACGCCAAATGCACAAAACAAGATTTTCTTTAATTATGAAAGAAGTGAGTAAGTACATATTTTAATACATATCTTACCGGGGAGTTCCTCCTGATGTCCGCGTACAAATAGAGCGCTCCCTCTCACTCTCTCACTCACTGACTCACTAACTCCCTCTCTCTCTGTGTGTGTGTGTGCCGAGATGCAGCTGTGCACTGTGTTACCTTGGCTAAGCACAGTGTGCTGCCCTGTAGCTCAGTGGAGCAGAGTAGGAGGAACAGGCTGACCTGCCCACTGGCCTGCAGGAGGATCAGAGCCAGGAGGTGACCCACACACACACAGACACACACACACGGACAGACAGAGACACTGATTAAAGTAATATACCATCAAGGTTTTCTGCTTTGTAATCTCATCTACAGAGACTGCAGTGACATCAACATTTAAAGCAAACATGCTGTTGTTAGAGTAAATAACTCTTTATTCCATTGACATCCTGTGCTATCAAATACTTGATCCAAAATTATTCTCTCTTACCATGTAAGACAGTTGTGTCAGCGCCATCTGATGAATGAAGCATTGACTGCATGATATTAGAATAATTTACTCCGATCTTCACAAAAACATAACACGCTTATTTTTTTTATACATTAGTTTTATTATTTCATCTTCAAAAGCTTATCAAGATTAAGAGTGATAACAACACACAAACTGGAAGGCAGTATTGGAATGAAAAGTTCAGAGGTCCCGAGCAACTTCCGGTTGTTAATATTTATTTAGAAGCCGCATCACATTGCAAACCATACATCACCATTTACATCTTGATGTAACACTGAAGGTCCCGCTAGATTGTTGAAAGAGCCAAACAAATATGGAATTAAGAAGAGAAACCTTACGAAATGCTAAGAAAAAATTTAATCCAGCAAAGAAAATGCCAATGACATCATCACAGTAAAAGGGCTGGAATACAGTACTTACCGAACACAAGACTAAAACCAGACTACTGTACAAGCTCTTTGCTACATTCACATTATGACAGCTTTTAATTTCCAGAGAAAAATAAATACACATCTGATTTCTTTTACACCTCTTGTATGCCTTGACCCTATTAAAATAATTTTCTAATCATAAAAATCTGAAACGTATGTACATACATTTGAGGCATATTGTGTTGTTTTTTTTTTCCTTTCTCATTATTCAAATGCTTTTTTGCATTTTCCTACATTTGGACCATTTTGTTGTGAACTTTACTTTTGGTCTCTGTCTGCATGCGTACTTTTTTTTTTTTAAACGACGAGGGTTTCGGCAGTGTTCCTCATTTGACTTTGTTTCCTGGAGTTCCAATGAGCTCAGGGCAGGCCTCTTCTCCTTTGGAGATTCTGTCGCACTGTTGAATCAGGTCATAGTTGATCTTGTCACTGATCACACTGTCCTGCTTGTACTCTGGATGTTTAGCAACAAATTCCCGCATCCACTTGGCCATGGTCATCAGTTCACCTGTTGCAAGTGTGCAGAAACATCCAGTCAGGCTGACAGCTGCATGAATACGATTTTTTACAAGCTTGAATTTGTAATTGTTGATGTTCTTCGATGCATGTTTACCTGAGGCACGTTTCTTGATGAGCTTCAAATAATTCAAAATGGCACATCTGGTGTCCACGTCCACCTCCATGTTCTCAAGATAGCAGTTAAGGATGGGGATGAGGCCTTGAAAAACGCCTTCCTGTTGAACAGGAAAACAGAGAGAAACAGTCAAAAGTGGTCACTCAAAAAAAACCCTTTTTGATGTAGGCTGTTCATTGCCTTCAATTACTGTAACACACTGGAATGATCTAGAATCCAAAATATCCCTTTATTCATTTAAAATTGGCAACTGGAAAATATGGGAATATGTTCATCTGTGAAGAGTCTACCACTTGCCTTAGTTCTCATTTTATTTAACGATGTGGAAATGGTTAGCATTGGTCCAAAAGACCAAAGCCCATTTAAACCAATCACAAAGGAAGTGAGGAAAGAGGGGGAGGGATTTCATCGGTAGCAGCGTTCTCTTGTCATGAGTGTAGATGGTGCCCTCTTGTGGCCATAGATGGTAAAAGCTACAACATTTGATAAGTCATTTCATAGTACACCATAAGTCACATGACTAGTTGGCGGGAAAATATAGTGGATATTAAACCTTTTGTTTTACCAAACATATTTTCAAGAGTGACTGTAGTTGTAAAGTTCTCTAAAGTATTGTACTGTGTTATGTATACATCTTGAGACACCGCCATGAGCTCAGCATATTGTACATTTCTTATACTCAGTGGACAGTGGTTAGTTTCGGAGGGAAATATTTAATGAGGGTACTTAATGCACAGTCTAACTGGAGTCGTAGCTCCAAGGAACTTGCGACTCAGAAGATTTTTTGCCTTTTCTCACACAACCTAACTACCCGCACAGTCAGTAATTTTTAAATGTCACAGTAGGTTCACCTTTCCGTTGATGATTGTGTCAATGCTCATCAGTGTATATTCTTCATTTCCACAATCGCTCTCCAGGCCATTTTGAGGAGAAGTGGCGCCATCGAGCACTGTGCTGCAGCCTGTTAATGATAATAATAATAATAATAATAATAACAATAAAGAAACATGTTTAGCACCCTTCTCCAACACTCAACCATTCTACCAGTCACCAGTTTTTAACCTACCTTTGAAGATGTCCTTTCTGAAGTAAAACATTCCCTCCTGGACTGCATTCCTTCTCTGTGCCACCTTCATGTTTTCATCAACCTATTGCAAACAAAATTGCTTTTTAAGCGTAGAAAAACTAAAAATGTCAAAGATATACTGTAACAAAATGTAAAGGTAAATGTTCTTCATGATGTGGCTGTATTCACCTTTGACAAAGGTATTAGAAAATCCAGTTTGTACGACAGGATCACTCTGGTGAGCAGCACAACGAAGACCACGTACGCAGCGTTTTCAAAGTCAGTGAGCTGCACCTAAAAAGTCAATTCCTCAACTTAACACCAGCAGCGTAGATGTGTTTCAAAACTGTAGACTGACATGTAACAAGAACCGGTCGTTACCTCCATGGGGCGAAACTCAACTCTCCAGCCGATGTCAGAGTTGGGTGGAGGAGGTTTGAACCTCATTGTCTGCCAATTGGTCGACTGGATGTTCTGCAAGAACCAAAGTGTTGATAGGAAATTTAAAAAAAAACAAACACCAAAAGATGTTTATCAAGTTATTTAAATTAATATTTAGACTTTTACCTCAAAGTGATCTGACTCATTTTCATCATCCAGATGTATTTTCTCCTCAAAAACAGTGAGTGGGTCTCGGATGAAGAGGTGGGCTATGTGCTGGGCCAGCAGTCTGTCGATACCTGTGTAAAAAAAAAAATTTTAATAGTTATTTTAGTCATGTCTGTGGAGATGTCAGTGATTTTACATTTGTCTTTTTGTCACAGAAAACTGACAGACAACTCCCCCCTTCCCTCACATTCACCTGCAGCGAGCAGCTGCTCGTAGATCTCATTGTCTATTGTCAAATCGATGTCGTTGTACTTGTCACCGCAGCTGGAGAGATAACTGTCAATCGAATCGTATCTGGACTTGAAAATCCGGAATTTGTTGTTTTTTAAAGGCTGTAAGAGGGAAGGACACAAGTTGGACATTAGATGTAAAATAGTCTGGAAAACCTCGGGTTACAATGTTAAAAACAAGACTTGATCACTAATATTCGCAGACCTAGTAGATACTTCACTATTAGATACTGCTGTGGAAAACATACAAAAATAATGTATGAAAGACACAATACAAGCTAAGGTACTACAAATTGTTTTGAATGGGTAACAACGAGAAACCATAATAAGGTTCAGGTGAACGTGTCGAGGAAACTACCTATATAAAGAATTTTCTGTGACTGGATCTGAACAGATACCGTACTTGCAGCAGTGTGTGCCATCAGAGCCCTTTAAGTCATGTTAATATAATCGCTACCTGCAGTCAAAACATTGGTTTGTCATGGGCTTACCAGTAAACCACGCTCCTCCTGAGTCCTGTCATCCACTGAGGCAGAAATAACCCCCCAACGACAATCGATGTCTGACACGTAGCCTCTGTAGAAGGGTGACGCTGCACTCAGCGCCATCTGTATGGAATGGAAAACATGACTGAATGAAATTATGTTTACACCAAGCATTCCTCCTTTGTTTAATAATCACATTTTTTATATACATCATTATACTACTGGTACTACTGCATAGGTGAGTTCATTATTAATATTTTTAGAGCAAGACTATACAAATGAACGTACATACTATAGTCTGTTTTGTGTTTAAAATATAGAGATGTATTGTGAAAAACCTCAAATGACCTAGCCCCACCAGTTTTGTAGACATCATTTTTGACTTCAAAATGGAATTGGTTTTTCCAAGTAAGGCAATATTTCTGTTCTAACACCACAAGGTGGCACTCATTTTAAAAAAGAGAGAGAAAGTGAGAGGGAGAGAGAGAGAGCATTAGTTGACATGATAACTTGTGTTGTCATGTCTACTCACCACAATTGGGCAAAATGTTGCTAGTTGATCATAAAGATATCTCGCCTCATCAATACTGCAAGCCTGGAATGTCACCTGCAGCACAGTAACAGAGGCTGAAGTACATTTATACGTCACCTATTGCAGCCACACCACTTGCAGTCACAGACAGAGACGACTACTGTAGGGTACCTCATTCTTATGTAGAAAAAAACCAACCAACCAAACAAACAAACAAACAAGGAGGTTTTTTTTAAATAAATCAGTACCTGCAGACAGCAGTTGCCCATACCGAAGCCCATGGCATCCATGTAGATATGGTCGGGTAGAGCTGCCCTGGCTGCTTCACCGTCATCTTCAGGAAACTCCTCCACAAACGGAGACGGAGTGAACTTGTCTTTGTAGACTGACACACAAAAAGTAATACTGTCTTATTTATTCCACATTGACCCAGGAGTTAAACTCTTGCAAACACTTGTACTGCATTTAGCTAACTGCAGTCATCGGTACTTCATTGTGTATTCAAAATAAATTATATTGCATGTGAATCTTACTTGGTACATTTATAACAACTTTCTCTCCTCTTCGGTGACGTATGTTTCTAGTGAGGGTGCTGAAAAAGAAAACAGGCGTTGGTTGATTACTTTTGCTGCGGCATAATTATTGATTGTCTACACTAGTAATTATCAACCGGTGGGTCGAGGCCTGGACTAGTTTTTAGGGGTCATAGACCTTTACCAAGGCAAACAAAATGTAGAGAAAAGAAATCGACAGTGTCGCCTATTCCGACTCCTTAACACTGGGTGGGGATAATAACCCTGTAATGCAACACTTCACCTTATGGAAAAATACAAACCTCTATTTACATATGCTATTTGCCCATGGTGAAATGCAGATATGACACAGACTTTACTGCATTTTATTTATTTTTTTAAATTGGAGTCGCAGCCTGTCATTACAGAGTGACGGTGTGTATTGGTGGTAATGTTTAGAAATCACATGGTTGCGTGTTTGAAGACGTACCTAAATCTCGGATGCCTGTTGATGGCTTCATCGGGGAAAAACAGTGATTTGGACACTCCTTTTTCAACAGGGGATGGTCGGTGCTCTGGTTTGGTGAAGCCTGGACAGCCTAACCTAAAAAAAACAAAAAAACATCCACGGTCAAAACTGTGACAGGGCTGCAGTAGTGTTCCATATGGTTTTAATGTGTAAATGTGAATTTGTGAATAATTTGTATTTTCCGATGCGGGAAGTAGTTGTAGTAGTTGTCAGTCCAACAGAGGATCATGAAAGTAAAAAAAAAAAACACAAAAAAAAAACCACAAACAGTTCTCTTTTAGTTTTTTTTTTTTAGAGGTAGATAACAACTTCTCGGTGCACAGTTGGAAAAACTCAGTGCAGATGTGAATGAGAAGCATTCTGTTGCACAGGCACAAAGTCATTAACAGACAACACTGTAGTGGAAAAGTGAGTTTTTGAGTTTCTTTAGAATTTGAATCCAGAAAATATGTCGTTTTAGAGACACTCTATGTTGTTGTATATTTCAAGTCTCGGGGACAGCTGTTTAATGACAGGATCTAGGATTAGTGCGTCTTTTACTTCACTGCATGAAAAGGAAGCCTGCAGTGCCACTCAAACTTGGCTCTAGGACTCAAGTTTGACACTGAAAAGTCATCAGATAACTCTAAACATATTTAGATAACTTTGATTTCATGATTAAATTTTTTTTTAAATAATTTAATAATATAATCATATACCCTAATATAGCAGCACAATCACAGCATGTAAAGTATGTGGCCTGAGGTAATAATCACTCAGCTTCCTCTTTCTAAAAATATTTGTTCAAAATCATTTGCATACAATGAACTGTTCTTTAATATGAATTATTTCAATCTGATTAGTTCATTGTACAGAAGTGTACCTGGGGAATGAGGTGATGGTGCAAATGCTTTCATTCTGTCTTAGCACAGATGAGGCTTCTCGCCGTCTCTTCCCCATGTTGGCCTCCACAGTGTTGAACTCCGACATGGTGCCGCCGTACGGCTGTCCTGGAGTTCCTTCAATCATGTAGCTGGCGTACTCTGGTCTCCAGAGTGTGGGGTGACTGCAGAAATATAAAAGGTATTGTAAAAACATTACTTTGAATGCGTCAAAAGAGATGGGAGAGAGAGAGAGGGGGACAGAGAGAGGGAGAGGGGGAGAGAGAGAGGGAGAGGCCAGGTCTTACCACTATGGCTAACTCAGTTTATGGTTCGTAGACAATGAAACAAACCAATATCCAGAAAACTGGAGTGCACTTGACATGGCTTTTTTTTCTTTTACATATTAAAGTTGTTTCGAATATCCTGTATTCAAAGACACTAATGAACAAATCACTGTTTTTTTCACCCTAACTGATGGTAAAATACCAAATTCTGTACATTTCAAGCTTGGTGGCAGATGTAACTTCATACTTGCAGTGACGTGAATAAGAAAGCAGACGAGGGGACCATCCAGGTAATTCAAATCTGAGAAGTGTAAAAGTAACAAGACTGTCTTAGCTCTAAGACTTTTTTTTAACTTCTGATTCAGGAGACTTCTTCAATCTTCACTGACAGCAAGAAAACTCCAGGACTATGGCTTCATATAGAGGCTGGATATCTGTCTTCAGCCACCCACACTGAGGTTCTCCACGGTCAGGCATGTCCCTCAGGCACCTTGCTAAGGTAAAACTAAAACCTTATAAATGCATTGTTTATCATAACAACTCTATTCAGGTATTAGACCTGTGGAGGCCAAGTCAGGAGAGTTCCCTTTAAGATGAGGCGATTGTTCTGATGTATCTATAAGGTTGAAGAGTTCTGTTAAGGTTAGGCAACTGGACGTGAACTTTTTTGTTCGAGAAAACGTCACATCCAGTTGCCTAACAGAACTCTTCAACCCTGACCATGACCTGAATGACTGAGAATCTTCATAGACATGTATCTGTATTACATTTGCAAAAACAACTTATTTCAGTATTCATGGAGACAAATATTATGTACCTATCACCATATACCTTAGGAACCAACATCCTGTCTGTTTGCCTTTGGCGAAAATAGAGGCCAATTTCTGCTGTTCTTCAGCGTTTGTTTAACATTTGCTGATGAGTGACTTTTTCAAATGACTACACACCCAACAAGCCCTCAGGTCTGTTAGTCCTTAAATTACACAGAGGAAAGAGTATATATTGTTCTGTTTAATTCTTAAACTGAAATAAATAGAAGTAGTATTTTTTTTATTTTTCCATTAAAACGGTCACCTGCTTCCAAAAAAATGAAGCCAAACTCATATCTTGATCACTGTGTGCACAACTTGATATTTTGTCTCCTTTCATTCAAAGCAATCGCCCTTAGTTCTTAATTGTTTCTGTGGTTGAGCTCAAGCCAGAAAAGCAGGTCCTTAAAATTCTTACATACTTGGGGTTTATCTTTTCCCCCTGGTGTTGCAGAGTTTCAACAACGTCTTCACCGTGCAGGACGAGTCGAACCTTCTGATCCTGGTGATCCATTTCCAGTAGCATGTACTCAACCTTAAAGCACACAATTGAAGACAAACAGGAACGAGGTCACGTTAGCATGGGAGTTGATTAAATTCAAGGCACACCTAGTACCTCTAGACAAGACCGAAAGCTCAGAGCGTGATGCTGACATGTTTTAATGGATCAGACCATCGCATCAGTTCCGAGTCACTGGGCGTGTTTCCTTTACTTGGACTTCATAGCGCCTGTAATCCCTCCTCTGACGTAGGGATTACTCTATAAAAACAGCATTCCACATATTTCAAATTCAGGATTTAACACAGACTTGATTTTGGTCATTTTAATGTAATACTTGTGGACAAACTATTGAAACACAAAACTGTTAAACTACTAATTTTTAGTTCACCCGCTCGTCTTCCACTGTTGGCACCTGGGTAATTAGGACCCTATCTGGAAGTATTCCTTAAATCATAATCTCAATTAGCAGTAACATTACCACATTAACATTTCAACATATCTGTTCCTTGAAGAAATTATTGTTTATTCAAAGGAAGAGAGTTAAATGGACAATGTGGAGAAGTGGAAGATCGAATGTGACAGGCCACCACACGTGACTGACACTGGTTTACATCACCACAAAAGTGATGTTGATGAATATTATTATCAGCATCACAAGGCAAAAGCTTGTCAATCCAGCTGTCAATCATGGGCTCTGTCTGAAGTGAAACGTCCCACGAGGGTAGAAAAAAGAAAAAACTCAAGCAGCCAGCAGCTAAACTCTGCTCTAAAAGTACAAGCCCTGCCTGAAGAATACTGTTGAAGTCATTAGGAAACATCTTCAAAGGGCAATAGCAAACTTAACTAATTTGCCCAAATATCATAAGTCATAAGTCCCTGTCTGTGGAGGTTAAAAGACTACACATCAATACTTGGATTGATTTATCCCCAAATTTGAATGGTTTTACAGTAATGCCATGTTTATAAACATTTTAAATAGTTTTAAACTAACTAACTTTGTATAAAAGCAGGTGGAACTTTTAATACTTACTACTATACTACTATACTATACTACTATAATACTCGAATTAATATTATGATATTCAAATTAATTTCTCTAAAGGTCTACCGCTCATGTAACATCTTAAAAAAACCTGTCAATATTTTGTTACATTTGAATGCAGAAAATAATAACAATAATAATAGTCATTCACTCCTAAGTACTTTGGCATTCTGTGGTCCGTCTTCACATAAACACCCTGACTGACAAGTTGCGGATATGAACAACAGACACTCCATAACAACAAAAACTACAGGCAACAGCATCAGATCTCACCTCGTCGCCCCACTTGAGCACATCTTTCTGGCGATCTTTCAGCTTGTTGTAGATGTTGAGGAACTGGATGATGCCGTGCTTTCTTATGTGGTCAGCATACTTCTTGCTCTCTTCCCAGTTGAGTGGAGAGCCCAGTGACAGCAGACCCATGGCGAGAGCAAACACAGGCTGTTACAGCACAATCTGGAGGCTGCTGCCGGCTGCTTTCACTGATCCTGCCCGATGACCGTTAGCTAGCTAACTTCCGATTTCGCCTCGATGAGAGCTTGAAGAAAAGTCTGACCCCGAAAAACACGAGCGGTGGAATCTGCGTCTTCGAGCCGCGGTCTAAAGAAAGCAGAGAGATAGCCGGTGTCTGTTCAGCGGCGTGCTGGTCGCTC